TCGACCCGGACAGGTCAGATGGGGATGGGTGTTGCGAAACCCGAAGGAGAGGGCACCCATCCCTACCCAGGGGGGGTATTGAGGTCGGCCAGCAGGGCCGAGGTTCATTCGGTGCAGGTAGGGGTGATTCGGCTTGCCCGGATCAGTGCGAAACCGAGCCGGACAAGCGGTCCCGAGAACGGGGCCGAGGGGGTTGGCCGGGTGCCCGTGTTTCGAAGAAAGCACGACGTCGGAAATCTGGCCCCTGGACTGCGCAGACGAGAAATTTGTCTCGGCAGTTGTCCGAGCCCTGGCCCCGATCGCCCCGGCGCCAGTGTACACCGTGCCATCATATACGTTATGCTACGCTGCGCTGTGTTGCGCTGTCGGACGTTGCGCCATGCCACTCTGCCACGGTCTGCTTCTGAGGTTTTGCCTTTGCCATGCGCCGCCACGCAGTACAGTCACGACGCCGTCATGAGGAACAGTTCGTGTCGGAGGGGGTTCGCTGCTCGTCAGGTCCGTCCGTGGTTGTTCTTGTAGCGCCCCTCGTGCACCCATGCGCTTGGAGGGCCAACAGGGGATTTCGTTTGTCGGCGTTCCTCGTGGTCGTGGCTTGACTTTACTCCACTCTGCTCTGCATCGCACGGAACGCTTTTCATCTCCCTGCGCTGAATGGCGCGGCATGCTTTCCTACGCGCGCCGCAGAGAGCAACGCCCCCAAACTGGTGCCGCGGACTCCCCGTTAACGTCTCCGAGAATACCCGGGCGGGGGCCAGCGATTCCACCCTCCTTTTCGAGCAGGGCCCGCCGAGTGCTGCGAGTCGGCAGCGGTGTTCGATGCCTCGACCAGCTTCTTTTGGGCATCATAAGCCGAGGGTCCGAAGCAAACTCACCAGAAGTACCCCGACATCCTGCCGGCGTGAGCAAGAGTCCGGCGGGTCTCTTCGCCCCCTCTCGGGCCCGCCCCCCTAATCGGATCGCGTTGGCTTGAGGAGCCGGGCGCAAAGGTTGGGTCGTGGGCGACCTGTCGCGATCTTTCTCCAAGCTTTCTCGTGACGTTGAGTGTCGGGCCTACCCTTTCCGTTCTCCCTCCTCCGCATCCCTTTCTGTTCCGCCTTTCCTTCTCCCACCCCTCGCAACCTCAAACGTTCGGTTTGCTTTCCGCATGTATTATATCAAAGTGGTGGCAATCTGACAGAACAAAACAGGTAGTGTTGTGATGATGCTGCTGGATGGGATAGTGACAAGTGTCTGGCTGGTCTAGCGGTTTTGGCTTACTCTTGCCGATTTTTGGACTGGCCGCCACCGGCGCTTTGCCCCAGAACCCGAGGCTAAAACTGAACTGTCGGCGCCCCTGGACCGACATTTGAAATTCAAAAAGGACCAAGAGGGCCAATTTCGAGTCCGCCAGAAGACCCTCATCTCAACACGAGACAAAGTGGCTTTGACAAATGAGTTCGTTCCAGTTGAAAAACGATTGATCCAGACTGAAGAGCCACAGGTTTCTAATTAGAGCGTCGGCCTCTTTGATTCCACATTGCCGGTTTGCTACGTCTGACCAGCATTGGGTTTCGAATCCCCAGACCAGCATGGCGGGCAGAAGAGCTGGTGCGTCGCGGCAACCACGGATCGCCATGCCGTCCTCGGGCCTGTCTGGTTGCTTTAACTGGGGCTGCGGCCAGAAACCCCGTCTGAATTCGGACCTCCATTCTCTTTGTATGCAACGACGACGAGGATGGCGAGCAGGGCGACGACGACGAGGAGGGCGACGACGACGGCGTCGTGGACGTGCACGTACATGTGAACGAGGGCGTGGATGTCGACAATGATGACGACGACGCATAAAAAGGAGGCGGACGAGTTGGAGAAGGAGGTCGCGTCGGAGAGGAGAAAGAGGAGACAGTAGTAGAGCAGGAGGTGGGGGGGGCAGGGAGGCAGGGAATTAGGAGCAGCAGGAAGGGCGCGAGAAGAGCATGAGGAGCACGATTGAGAAATATGATGGAGGTAGAGGAGGATCTGGGAGGGATGGAGATAAGCAGTGACTCGCGTCGTCTTTCAAACTGAGTGTGTCACTCAATCGTTTCTACCACAACTCTCCCTTGGCAGGGTTCTCCGTTTGAGCAGAGCACTGCTCGCGCGTCTTCCCCAACCCTTACTCCCCTCCTGCTCGCCTCTTACCTTCTCCTTCACTCCTGCATTTCGAGCGTCATCCTGCACCCCAGGCGTCCGTTCACGGTCTGCGAACTGCGCACGTGGAGCCACTTTCGTGGGCTCCTGGGAGGTCCAGCGGAGACGGTGGGCAGGCGAGACCTCGCTGCTCCTTTGGATATTGTCAATTGCGTCGTGGGCTCCTGGGGATCCAGCGAAGGCGGTGAGCAGGCGAGATCTCGCTGTTCCCCGGGAGGCTGCCATCTGCGCAAGAGTCGCCACTTTCGTGGGCTGCTGGGAGGTTCAGCGGAGGCGGTGGGCATGCGAGACTTCGCGGCTGCCTGGGAGGGTTCCCATTGCGCAAGTGTGTTCCCAAGCGTGGGCTTCTGGGGTGTCCAGCGGAGGCGGTGGGCAGGCGAGACCTCGCGGCTCCCTGGGGGGCTGCCAACTGCGCAAGTGTCGCCATTCTCGTGGGCTCCTGGTGGTCCAGCAGAGGCGGTGGTGGGCAGGCGAGACCTCGCGGCCCCCATGGGGGCTACCATCTGCGCAAATGTCGCCCTGTTCGTGGGCTCCTGGGAGGCGGTGGGCAGGCGAGATCTCGCTGCTCACTAGGAAGCTCCCAATTGCGCAAGTGTCGCCATTCTCGTGGTCTCCCGGGAGGTCCAGCGGCGGCGGTGGGCAGGCGAGACCTCGCGGCTCTGGGGGGGGGGCTCCCAATTGCCAATTGCGCAACTGTCGGCAATTTCGCGGGCTCCTAGGAGGTCCAACGGAGGCGGTGGGCAGGCGAGACTCGCTTCTCCCTTGGAGGCTGCCACCTGCCACCTGCTCGGACTTTGTGATTCAAGCCTGCACTCCTGTCAGTTTCCTCGGAGCTCGGATGCGCGCCGCGGCTCGCCTACTGCAGGTTGGCTTGTGCGCTGGTCCGTGTGGTCTGGTTTCCCCAATGCCTCTGTCCTCCCCCTCTCCTCCGGCGCCTCTGGTCTGCGGCCATTCGCGGCCGTTCAGCTCGCCACACACTCAATTCACGAGTCCTCTGGCCTGCGGGTTTCGCGGGGGGGAACTTCGCTGCTTTTCCCAGCGCTTCGCTTTCACATTTAGAAGCATGGTCAGGTGGTGGACACTACTGTTTCAACTGGCACTCTTTGCCTCGACGTTCGCGGCCACATTTCGGCCGCGTTCGCCGGACAACCGTGCAACATAGCCGGTAGTGCGGTTGGTGTCTTCAATTGGCGTCTGGTGAGGAAAAACAAGTGTCGCTGCTGTCGTTGGTTCCTGGGATGACCAGCGAGGGCAGGCGGCGGCATTCTTGGGGCTTGCGAATTATGCAAGTGTCGCCCTTTTAATGGGCTCCTGGGAGGTCCAGCGGAGGCGGTGAGCAGGCGAGACCTCGAGGCTCCCTGGGAGGCTGCAAACCGCGCGAGTGTCGCGAATTCCGTGTTGAGGAATTCCGGCCAGCTACCTTAGATTCCCCCAAGAGGATCGCAAATTCTCCCAATTGCAATAGAAGAAGAAGTACAACGCCAAACTACGAGTACGAGAAATGTGCCGTGCAGAAGTACTACGTACAGACGCTCAGAAATCCGAAGTGTGAGGAAAGTGTGTCAGAGATACGTCTTACATCCTTGTTCCACTCTTTGTATTCTCATACGTTTCCATAATTTGTTTGTTCTTAGCATGTGCGTTCGTACTTTTTCCCGTGTGTGTTTCGTACACGTTGTTCGCGTTGTGCATATTTCACATTCGCGTTTCGCGGACCTCGCCTGGTTCCTTTCGATCCGTATGTTTGTTACACTCGTGTCATACGCGTACTTGCAGTTTTCTTTTGCCAGGATCGAGGATCTGCCGGTCTATCCGGCTTCAGATCTTAATAATTTTCGTGGGTTGTTGGGAGGTCAGCGGCGGCGATGGGCAGGCGAGACCTCGCGGCTTCCTGGGAGGCTGCCAATTGCGCGAGGGTCGCCACTTTCGTGATCTCCTGGGAGGTCCAGCGGAGGCGGTGGGCATGTGAGACTTCGGCTTCCTGGGAAGTTGCCAACTTTGCCAGTGTTCTCCCACTCTCGTGTGCTCGTGGTAGGTCACAGCCGCGGCGGTGGGCAGGCGAGACCTCGCGGCTCTCTGGGAGTCGACACTTTCGCGGACTCCTGGTAGGACCAGCGGAGGCAGTTGTCTCGCAGATCATGGCAAGACGCCGCAGATCAGTGGTTCACAGCGCTGACCCATCGGACTCTCAGACATATTATCATCGGCCCATCGGCTTTCTTTTCCTTCCTTTGTGCATGCCTTGCAGGCGACCAGAAATCGTTTCCCTGGAAGAGGAGGAGGAGGAGGAGGAGGAGGAAGAGGAGGATGAGGAGAAGGAGGAGGAGAAGGAGTTCCCGCGAATCGTGGAACGTGAAAGCCACCCATGTAGTTGTCGTAACACATTGCGTTTCCTTGCGTGGATCATCGGCATGAAGCGGGGCCGCGGCGATGTTCACTTGTTGCAGATTCGTTGGGTGCGCCTCGGGCAAGTGTGCGCACTGCTGGCGTTTTTCTTCATCAGTGACTCGCCGAGGGGGTCGCCAGACCAGCGCGATCTTGATACTGTTCCTGTTCTCCGAAGGATGGATGAAGGAGGAGGAGGAGGAGGAGGAACATGGAGGAGGAGGAACATGGAGGAGGAGAAGGAGCAGAAAGAGGAGGAGGAGGATGTCGAAGGATAGAAGGAGGACGAGGGAAGAGGGAGGGGATGAGGAGGAGGAGGAGGAGGAGCAGGAGGAGGAGGAGGAGCAGGAGGATGTCGTAGGATAGAAGGAGGACGAGGGAAGAGGGAGGAGGATCAAGGCGCGCCCCGCCCGACGCCTCCCCCCCCTTGGCGGGCCGCTGTGCAGGCGGGCCGTGGTACGAGCCTCACCGGCCGCCCTTCCAGCGGCCACCCTTCGGAGGGGGGGCAGGGGTCGTGTTACGTCGGGCGTGTCCCTCTACAGGGGGGATATCCCAAAATAGTTAAATAGCCGGGGGACGATTGTTTGACCATTTTAGAGTATGCCAGGGTATTTTTTGACAATTTTTCATCCTTCGTCCAAAATCCCCCTGTAGGGGGACAGGCCCGACTCAGGGGTCGTGCTGTTCGCCATGAATCGCGAGCGTCGAAGAGGGGCTGATAACGCCGAAGGGTGGCGCTCGAGCACCGCTGACCACACTTTGGGGGCAGCTGACCACACTAACGCCCAGGGGGCCGTACCATTCTTCCAGGGGGCTCCTGGGGAGTTTCATAGTGGGAGAAGGGGCCCAGGGGGCCCCTTTGGTGAAGGCAGACCCTGTTTCCAAGGGTCAGACCCGCGCTCGCAGCAGGGCGGCTTCGCAGGTACGGGGACGTCGAGGAGGGGGGTGAGTGAGGATTTGTGCGTCTTCTTTCCGTGCATCCCCTGCCTCCCTCTCGCCTGCGCGCATGCCTCGGGCCAAGGCCTCTGGGCCTGCTTTCAGACATGAGCGGAGTCGAATCAGAAAGTGGTCCGCGCGGATGTCTTGGGTTGGCGCTGGACCCCATTGGCGGAGCCTCTGGCGCGCTCCGCGCGACAGGGACGCGGGTGTGCTCTTCGCCTTGGAGTTCGATGCGCGAGGTTCGAAGTTCCCTGAGAGGCGCGGGGGGACGCCACTCGTGGCCACAACTGACGTCCTGGCGAAATGCTGGTCGAAACACACCATCATCGGAGACCGAAGAAGACACCATGTGCGCAGGCACGAACTGTCCGAGGTCCGCGCGGACCATCCAGGGCCGCTTCCACTGGCCGCGCCCCGCTCGCGCAACGTGTCGACTTGGCCCTCCAGGGCCTCTGCATTCTTATCGTGCGTCCTTACTGTGCGGGTTGACCGTCTAGGCTCGTGCCGTTTTGAGTCGGCGGCGGCCCCGGCGCCGTCGTCCACGGCTGAACGCCGCCAGTGCCAGTGGCCTGGAGGCGGCCGACCTCCGCAGCCCTGCGCCACCGGAGAGCCACGGTCCTCCGAGGCTGAGCGATGCACCCGGCGTCAGGGGCAAACGCCGGCGTCGTCACGGCACAAGCCTGCTGCGTCCATACCCGCCGCTCCTCACGGATGGAGGCAGGGCTCCAGAAGCCGGCGCCGTCACGGGATGAGTGCCGCTCCTCACGGACTGGATGCGGGGTTTCAGGAGTCGTGTCCTGGGTGTGGATTGACATTGGCGGTTCAGGGTGCAGAGGTGGCGGAGGAGGCAAACTACGCACACATGTATGGATATATATATATATATACACATATATGTGTATATCTATGTATATCCAAATATGTATATCAATGTATGGACGATCCATGGTGGCTTGTTGTGCTGTATGCGAGGGCACTACGTGGGTGTCAAGCGGACGATGAGCATGCAGGAGAGGTGAGGAGGTCAAGGAGCAGCAGGAGGAGGCGGAGGCGGAGGAGGACGAGGAGGAGGGGCGGAGGCGGAGGAGGCCCAGGAGGAGGACCAGTGTAAACCCAAGAGCCACAAACGATGTTGGCATATTCTCTCCCTGCAAGCTCCCTCTTCACAGGCCCCTACCAGGGTTTATTTCCACTGAGGGAGCTGCCTCGTTAGAAGATGGAGACTCTGAAGCATTCTGGAACATTATTCTCGGGACCCCACCGCCACAGATGAACTTGATTGTTGCGCTTTGACGATCATGAATCGCACCAGAACGCCATTCCTGGGACTTCACACCGCGAATCAGCTAACTGTTGCACCCTCATAATCCTGAATCTGTCCGATACATCACTTCAGGTATGTTGACCATGGGAATCCGTGAAATTCTTTGAAAAGGAATGCGCGCGGCGCTGAAGGGAGACAGCCACTTTGGAAACGGAGCCGCCCTCAATCCGTAAAACTCTTGCAAATGTTTGAAACGAATGTGCGCGGCACAAAGGCGAAAGCCACATTTTGAACAGACACCGCCTTCAGTCCGTGAAACTCTTTCATTTTGTTCAAATGTGGCGGCGCTACGGCAAGAGCCACATTTTGAAAACCACATGCCCTTCATTTGTGAATGTGTTGCCAATGTTCAAGCTTCGGGGTCATGAGTGGTGAGGAAGTCTCAGGCGAAACGCCAGGCCCGCCCTACAGACAAGTCTGGTGTTCGAGGGGAGGAGTTATCATTAAGGAGGCGGGATGGGGGCGGAGAAGGAGGAGGAGGAGGACGAGGAGGAGGCGGAAGAAGAGGACGAGGAGGCGGCGGAGGAGGAAGAGACGCAGGAGGAGAAGGAGGAGAAGGATGAGGAGCAGGCGGAGGAGGTTGAGCAGGGGGAGGCGGATGAGGAGGCGGAGAAGGAGGAGGAGGCGGAGAAGGAGGAGGAGGCGGAAAAGGATGATGAACAGGAGGAGGAGGGGGATGAGGACGTGGAGGAGGAGGAGAAGGAGAGATGCTTATCCGCATGGCGAGTGGAGATCGGCCGCCCTTCCACGCGTCGCCCTTCGACAGCCGCCGGCCGCCCTTCGAGGGATCGCCGTTCGACGGGCCGCCCGATAGAAGGCGCGCGCTTCCTTGTCTCGACCTCTTTTCTATTTTTCTCTGTCAGGCAGTGGCGAGGCGTCCTGGCTTTCGTATGGGCCCACCAAATAGTGTTCCACCAACCTTTCGTGATCCTTTCGTGATTTGCACGAAAGGTTAGAACACTTCTGGAAGACACTCTTCGTTTAATACGTCGGATTCGTGCTGTAAGCACATTGGCTTTCTGTTTCGACTTGTTTGTTTTAAGAACGCGCGCAGAAGGGGGGTAATGGGGGAGAGGGAAGGCTTCTTAGAAACACCCTTTCTTCTTAGAAGGCGTGGGCCTGGTCTGTAGATGCGAGGCACGCGCCTTCTACGAAGCAGCCTCCTTCTAAGACGCCTTACCCCCTCGCCCCCTTTGTGCGCGCCGCCAAATCTTAAGGGTGCGACCCAGAAATCCCCGTTGCGACAAGATCACGACGGAAGGCTTCTGCCCGTTTGCGGCTTCGGGGGACCTCACCGGGCCCGGGGGGGGGCCCGAATTTCGCAGCGCCGGCGCCGTCTGAGAATGCTCAGCCAAAAGGCAGCGAGGATGGATCGCGCTTGGAAGCTTGGGAGACTGTGCCATAGATCTCGGTGCCGATCGGAAATATGTGAAAACCAAAAACAGAGGAGTCTTCAGACCCTGGATAATTTCTCACCTGACAAGGGCGGCAGTGATATCCATGGCCAGTCCGCGATTGGAGTTCCACCGGCTTCCAGACCAGGGGTTCCTTATCTGAGGGTTCTTAACCCACAGCTCCCACCGTGGCTGTATCGATCTCGCATATGCATCGCTTCAAAAAGTGCGTTGGCGGAAGGGCGCAACGGCCGTGTGTGTGTGTGTGTGCAGCAAGCTGCCGGTGGCGCTGCTCAGCGGCAGGGGAGTGGGAAGTGGGGCTGTGTTTTTGCGACGCTGTCTCGCTCGGGACTGGGGCCCTTGGGTCTGATCAACGGCAACCTCCGTTTCCCCACCGAGGCTGGGGGGGGTGGGCGAGATGGGGAGGGGAGTTGACGGACCTGGGGGAGGGCAGGAGACAGCGGGTCAAGGAAGCGCAGCACATACTCGGGCGATCGCAAACGTGAATCAAGGGGGCGTGGATTAGCGACGGGTCCCGTTTCCATGGGAAATCGCGGATTCCCGCCGCCGAGCGAGGCGGCAACGGCTGCATTTCGGGGAGGGCACCTCCACCGATCCATTGGATTGGGCGACCGCGCGCCAAGTCCATGGATCGCAAATCCATGTTTGGCGCGCCCCCGACATACAGATTGAGGCGTGTGGATCGCGACGGGTCCCGCTTCCATGCGACGTCGGCGCGCTCCGTCGCCAAGTCGGGCGGCACTGGCCTCGTGTCTCGGGGAGGACCTTCCCCGATCCGTTGGGGGGCCACATGCGAGCCCCACCCCACCGCCCCACGGTGTCGACGGGGGGAGGTGGGGTGTACTTCGCTCGGGGGGTCTCGAACGAGCTGGACCCCACCTCCCCCCTCACGAAGTCGTGGGGTGGCGGGGTGCAGGGCTCGCATGTGGCCTGCTGTCCGTGGGACCTGGTGCCCCCCGCGCCAGGTCCACGGATCCGTGGTCCATGCCGGCGTGCGCCCGAGCGGCAGAGGGGGAGGGGAGAGGGCAGGAGAGACAGCGGGCCCGGGGGAGGGCAGGATTGACAGCGGGCCTGGGGGAGAGCAGAAGCCCTGACCTTGCCGAGGGGGGCATCTAGATTCTTGTCGAGGTTTTAGGCAGTCCAGATAGGTCTGCCCATCGGTCGTTGAAAGTAGGTATTTTTGGAGTCCCAGTTTCCAACCTACCTTAGGCGCCTTACTACTTCAATGATCGAGTGGTTTTACCTTTTCCCTCCTCTTCAGGGGGCGGGCTGACACCCAATCTACTTCCAACGCCTTTCCTACTCCATGTTTCTACCTATTCTTTCCGACCGATGGGTCCTGGTCTGGCGGGCTATTTTTAAGCACCCTGGAAGGTCAGGGTGGCGGGGGGGTCGACACAAGCTGCGAGAGCACACGGCAGCATCTGGCAGCCTCCTGCGAGCCAGGGCCCTCCTGTTTCGACCCCACTCTGGTCCGCTCGATGCTCCTCGGGCTCCTCCGCGTGGGCCTGCCCCTGGCGCCCCTCTCTTGGGACCCTGGGCGCCAACGAGGCCCAGGAGGGGCTGCGCGCGTTCCGGACGGCGACGTGCAAAACTATAAGGCAGTACACAGACCTCGCGTTGATCTCGACGGTAGGTGTTTCGCTACTTGCGGCCTCCGAGGGCCTTCGCCAGGCCTCGGGAGCGTCAGACAACAATCCCGGATGGAAAACCAGTCCCCGAAAGGGGGTCCAGACCTCTGGAGGTCGACGCTGTGAAAAAAACACGACGTCGGGGGTCTGGGTACGTATCCACCCCCGGGCATCCCGCGGCTCGACTTGGTCGATCCGTGGGCCCTCCCGGGCCGCTGGCCCCCCCGGACCTCTTGAGGCACGGGCCTCCCTAAGAGCTGGTGCTCCGACACCGGCCCACGCAGTGGCCATCGCAGGCCTAGAAGTTGACACCACCAACACCGATATCGGCGGTGTGCCTTCACCGAGGGAAGAAGATCTCGATCTCGGTGATGGTGGTAATATTCTGGCTTCAAGGTGACCGAAATATTACCACCAACATCGAAATCTAGGATCATCTTCCCCCTGTGGAGGCAGCCCCCTGTGTTGGTGTTGGTGTCCATTTCCAGGCCTCCAAGGCCAGACATGGCGCTAGACCAGCCGCCCCCGCTTCCCCGAGGCGCCCGAGGCCTGGGACCGCCCCCCCGCGACCTGGGGCCTGCAGTGTGCTCCGCGGGCTGCATCTCCGACGCGTGCTGGTTCCCGCCGCCTCCCAGTCGAGCGTGTCCCTCTGCAGGAGGATTAGCCTGGCGAAGGACCCAACCATATGCAGTTGTGAATATTGCAAATATGAATATCGTTTTCGGTGGCGCTACCTCTGGGTAGGGGAGACGCATGCGAATACCCCCACTGGGGCCTTCGGTGGAGCTCCCTATAGGGCTACGAAACGCTGCCCTGGGTGGGGGAACCGCATGCGGGCACCCCCACTGGGGCCTTCGGTGGAGCTCCCTATGGGGCCACGAAACGCTGCCCTGGGTGGGGGAACCGCACGCGGGCACCCCAACTGGGGCCTTCGGTGGAGCTCCCTATGGGGCTACGAAACGCTGCCCTGTGTGGGGGGGGGACCGCATGCGGCAGCCCCACTGGGGCCTACGGTGGAGCTCCCTATGGGGCCACGAAACGTTGCCCTGGGTGGGGGAACCGCATGTGGACACCCCCACTGGGGCCTTCGGTGGAGCTCCCTATGGGGCTACAAAACGCTGCCCTGGGTGGGGGAACCGCATGTGGACACCCCCACTGGGGCCTTCGGTGGAGCTCCCTATGGGGCTACGAAACGCTGCCATGGGTGGGGGAACCGCATGTGGACACCCCCACTGGGGCCTTCGGTGGAGCTCCCTATGGGGCTACGAAACGCTGCCCTGGGTGGGGGAACCGCATGTGGACACCCCCACTGGGGCCTTCGGTGGAGCTCCCCATGGGGCTACGAAACGCTGCCCTGGGTGGGGGAACCGCATGCGGACACCCCCACTGGGGCCTTCGGTGGAGCTCCCTATGGGGCTACGAAACGCTGCCCTGGGTGGGGGAACCGCATGCGGACACCCCCACTGGGGCCTTCGGTGGAGCTCCCTATGGGGCCACGAAACGCTGCCCTGGGTGGGGGAACCGCATGCGAACACCCCCACTGGGGCCTTCGGTGGAGCTCCCTATGGGGCCACGAAACGCTGCCCTGGGTGGGGGAACCGCATGTGGACACCCCCACTGGGGCCTTCGGTGGAGCTCCCTATGGGGCTACGAAACGCTGCCCTGGGTGGGGGAACCGCATGTGGACACCCCCACTGGGGCCTTCGGTGGAGCTCCCTATGGGGCTACGAAACGCTGCCCTGGGTGGGGGAACCGCATGTGGACACCCCCACTGGGGCCTTCGGTGGAGCTCCCTATGGGGCTACGAAACGCTGCCCTGGGTGGGGGAACCGCATGTGGACACCCCCACTGGGGCCGTCGGTGGAGCTCCCTATGGGGCTACGAAACGCGTGAGAGGTGTGCCGAGAGCAGAGGCAAGGAGGGGGAGGAGGGAGGAGGGGGAGGAGGAAGGAGAGGAACGCGGGGCACCGTCTCTTCAAAACGAGGACCCAACACCACAGGATGGTTGGGAACTATCCAAAAATAATCCGAACATAGTCTGGCGACGATTTGTTTTGCATGGATTGACTATGTTTGAAGATTTGTTCGCGATGTTTTTGATTTTTCGCCCACAATCCGCTTGTAGGGGGACATGCCCGACCTATAGCGCTACTTCAGCTTCGGCCGGCGGCTCCAGCGCGCTCGCCCCGAGGCGCTTCAACTATAGCGGGCGAAGATCGGTTTCAAGCATAGGTGCTCTCGCCGTCGGGGACGTCTGTCCCAGGGCAGCCATCCGTTGGCACGTCAGTGCGCAATTTTGCCAGTCGCGGCTCCAGCGCGCTCGCCCCGAGACGCTTCCAGTAGCGGACGAATGAACGGTTGAAAGCATAGATGCTCTCGCCGTCGGGGACGCCTGTCCCAGGGGTCCCAGGGCAGACATGCGGTGCCGCATCCGGGTATTAGGCTTTCCAGCCGCCCTGGAGCAGGCGTCCCCGACGCCGGGAGAGTTCATGTTGTACCACTCTTCGTCCGCCACTTCCGGCCGCGCGTGCCCTCTTCCTCCCGCCGGTCCTCTGCACAGCCCCCCCCCCTCTCGTGCTGCTGGACCATTGGTTTGCCGCGTGCCCCCGACATTTCGAGCGCCTGTGTGGACCGCCTCTGCCGCGAAAAGCTCCCCCCGCCTCCTCTTCCTGCACATGCCTGCGTGCCGTCGTGTCGCGCGCACCGTGGCGCCGCCGTACTCCCAGCGCTCCGGCGCCGCCGCCGTGCTCTCGGATCGGGTGTGGTGTGCCTGGCCCCCCAAGGTGCCCCGGGGACGTCCAAGGCCTCCAGAGAGCACCCCTCGCGAGGCCCAGAGGGCCCCATGGGGGCTCCGGGACGGAGCGACAAAAAGCCGGGTCGTCATTGGGCACCTCGTCTGCAACCCCTGGTCAGAGGGCCGTCCTCCGGGACGCCTGTCGGCGGGGGGGACGGGGGAGGGCGGGGGGCCGCGGAGTTCGGTGCCAGAGACGTACAGGGTTGAGGCGAGCAAGGCGCGCTCGCGCCACGTCTGACATCCCGCCCCTCCTTACCCTCCCCCATCCCTTCCCATCGCGACCCAGCTCCCTCCTTCCCAAGGCTGCTGGGGGCCTCAGGGGGGGGGGAGGGGCGAGCAGGACGGCGTGCACCCGCGCAGCTCTCGGCGGCGCCGAGCCCTGGTACTCGACCCTCGGGCCCCCGGCCCCCGGGCCGTGGTTTTGGCACGTCGGAGGCCCGTCCACGGGAAGCCGTCCACGAAAAGCCCAAGCCGGAGGCCCCGGGGCGCAGGGGTGCCGCTGCCCCGCACATGATCCTCGCCCGCGACCCAGGCCGCCCTTCGACCCGCCCTTCGAGCCGCCCCCGGACGGCGGCCTCCGGCCGCCGCTCCCGCCGCCGGGCGCCGGGCTGCCTCTGCCGGGCGCCGGGCCCCCGCCGCTGGCGGACGCGCCGCCCGGCCAGTGGCTCCCCTCGGGTCGGGCGGCACGAGCACGCACCTGGATCGAGCAGTGGCGAGGCGTCCTGGCTCGCCTATATAGGCGAGCACTCAAGAGAGTTCTGGGAACCTTTTTGTGGTTTGCACGGGATGTTCTTGGAGCAGTTCTGGCTGGCACTTGTCTTGTTTGAATCAACATATCGGGCTTGTACCCTAAGAACAACGTTTTTGTCTTTGGAGCACTTTTGGGTTCTAGGAACATTTCGTGGTATAGGCCTGTAGGAATACTGGGACGGTCGGTCCCTGCTCAACTGGAGATCCAGCGCATTGAAAAAATCAAGACTCAGATTTTTTGCCCTTTTCGGCCTCAAGGGGCCCTCGCTGGGCCCCAGGAGCGTCAAAGATTTTTTTACAGGATGAAAAACTGGTCCCGGGGAAGGGTCGCGGGACCTCTGGGGACCTCTGGGGACCTCTGGGGTCGGGCGACTCTAGGCCTCCCAGACGGGGTCGGAGTAGATGGGGTCGGAGGATCGCGCCGCATCGCCGATGCATCGACGATGCGGCTCGATGCGGAGCCCGGTCTGCTTCACGCCGACGTCGACGAGTCATCGAGCATCGCTGGTGCATGATCTTCCGACACCATCTACTCCGACCCCACCTAGGAGGCCTCTAGCGACACGGGCACGTACGGCAGGTTCTTGTCGTGTTGACCAGTAGCGACCCCGCCGCCAGCGTTCAACGTCGAACATCGCTGGTGACCCAGGGTCGGTCGGTGTTGGTCCATCGGAGATTTCGGGAACGGCCGATGGTTCAAAGTTGAACGCCCCTTTGGGGGCCGTCTTGGGACCCTCTTGGGCCGTCTTTGTCGCCTCTTGGGCCTTCTTGGGGCACTCTTAGGCCGTCTTGTGGCCCTCCTGTTTGGGTTGGTCCTGGGGGCCTCTTGGCTGTCTGCCGGAAAGGCGAGAACACCACAATCCTTTCGAACATCTTAGGCAACCAATGAGTTGTGCCTCTTGGGGCCCTCTTGGGAGGCCTCTTGGAAGCCCCTTGTGACGTCTTGGAGGCCGCTTCGGCCATCTTGAGGCCATCTTGGGCTTCTTGGAGCGATCTTGGGGCGTCTTGGGCGTCTTTGACCATTCCGGTAGGCCTCTTTGAGCCATCTGGGTTCGTTTTGGGGCTCTCCTGGGCGAGGTGGGGCGACGCGAGCGGTTCCGGCAGACCCGGGGCCAGCCCAGCAGGTCCAGTGCCGGCCAGGGAAACGACTGGTCCGGGCCCTTTAAAGACTTGCAATTCTTGCCGCAGCAGCAGCAGCACAGCTCTCTCAGTGCTGCGTGAGCCTAGGATTAAGTCGGGCATGTCCCTACAGGAGGAATGTGCAAAAATGGTTGCAAAATAGTCACGGGCCGATTTTTCGACTATTCCTCCAAACTCCGCCTGTAGGAGGACATGCCCGACCTAAGCCTAGGATGTCCACCTCGTGCCAAAAGCACGGCGGCGGATCTTATGGATAGAGCTGCCTGACCAGGATGCCAGGAAGCTTGTTCCGAGCGTGCGAAACTTGTTATTGGACAGGTGGCCGTCCTTCTTGACGAACGCACCTGTTGAGCCAAGCGCGAAGCTGATGCTCTGATAGACAGAAGTCATATGCTAAAACAGAAAGTAGCATACTCCATATCCCTTCATCAACGGCCCCCCTAATAACAGCCCCCCCTGCTTCGATACTTATCATTCCGGCCCCCCCATCCATGGGAGGCGCCTTAACATTCTGGCCCCCCCTCCAGGAAATCCAGAATTCCTGTCATGGTGTTGGAAATGATTGTGCGGCGGTTGCGCGATGATGACGGCGTTGGTGATCAGTACATTGTCGCTTGCGATGTCGACAACAATTGCGATCAATCTGGCGAAAACCATGATCGCGTAAACGATGGTGTGGTACAGGCGCCATCTATAATGGTAGCGATTGCGGTTGCGGTCCCAGTGGTACGAATACAACCAAAACATAGAACAAGGCAGCACTCTTGTTCGTGCGTCGATTTGCTGAGTGTCACCTCAGAGATAACCTGTAAACATATTGTCGCGTTGGGCACAAACACATTCTACATCAGAGCATTCACGGTGATGGTGGCGAGTTGAATGATAAATATCCATGCCAAGATGGCGATACAAAGTGCGCTTAGTAATCCGGCCTCCATTAGCTGGCCCCCCTCGCCCTCCGAGAAGGCGCCTTAATAAACCGGCCCCCGGGGCAATTAATAAAGGGATGTGGAGTAGAGAGTAGAAGCATAGCACACCCTGCCGCCATACCAGAAGACACAGCTGACTATGGCGTCGTCCAAGGCCTTTGTGGTCCTTTCGCCTGTGGGCCAGAACAGTCTGGCCTGTAGCGGGTCTCTGGGCTCCTCGCAGGGCCGTCCTGCAACGAGGTGAGGGTCGGCGCAAAGCCGGGCGCAGGGCCTCAAATCGCCCGCCTGGCCGCTGAGGGGGCAGCTTGGATGTTCTCCGTTGCTGACGGCAAGACGTGCCCGTGAGACCACCGCCGCTGTGAAGAGCCTGGCCGGGAGTGGCGTCGCACGGACGTGGGCGTGCCATGCCTTGAGTCGTCTGGCGTCGCAGCCGATGCCGGAGCACAACTCGGAGTCGATGCGCCCCTCTCTCGTGAAGAGGTCGAAGTGGATCTCCTGCCCTCTTCGGCGTCCGCCAGTCTTGACTCGAAGTGTCCAAAGATTTTTGTGCCACCAGGTCGTGACCAAATCAGGGCAGCCTCGGTCCTCTCCCGCGCCGTCGTCTGCTGGGGTGCTCGGAGAGGCGGTTGTCCAGGCCGCGCCTCTGCTTCCGTCTGCCCCGGTTGTACAGACTTCGTTTCCTGGCAGCACTCGGGGGCCCCCAAATGGGGTGGTGACGACACCGTGTGGTGAGTCGGTGGGGTTTCGGGGTCACCGCACGGTTTTGGGACTCGGGTCGTTCTCCGGGGATGTCTCGGGCGACTGGAGCCTCCAGGGTCCCAAATCCATGCGCTCACGGACCGTGCGAGGTCATGGGGGACTTCGAGGTCACTGCACGGTCTGTCACCGCACCGTTTCGGGACTCCAAAAGCACGTGCGACAGCGATGACCGTCGCCGGCTGGATCATTATGTCCGGGTCGATCCGGTGCCCATGGATGAGCAGCCAGAGGGCGCGCGCCGTCGCCTCGGGAAGCTCCAGCGTCCAGGTGACGGCCCCGTTAATGGCGTTGATGTCCTTTTCTCGTGGGTTCCCCATCGTGCCAGCCGTAGGACAGCACAGTCATGGGCCGGGCTTCAATGAGCGTATGTTTTTCTTTCCTTCCAAGGGGCAACCCTTCTGCGCGAGTGATCTGTGCCTTCGCCTTTTCCAGCCTCTTCTGCTCTTTCTTGGTGGTCTTCATGGCGTTCCCTTCCTGTACGGCGGCCCCCAGCACGTTGGCGGTGTCCACGACGAACCCCGGCTCCACTCCAGCACGCCGGAGCTTCTCCCGCCCCTGTGGCGTGCGGTGCATCCACTGTTGTTGGGATTCTTTCTCCACCAAACCAGAAGCCGCGGACCATTCCTTCCAGACAGAGTTCGCCGACTCAGACATACATGGCAGCGGTACGCGTTTCCCACGTGCGGTCATGGACAAACAGCTGAAGTTCTGCCGTGCGCTCCGTGTGGGAAATGTGCAGGAAAGCCGCCAGCATCCTTGCGCACTCGCCATTGGACTAAAAGGGTCACCTTGCGGTGAAGAAGTGCCCACTTTCTCTGGCTCCGGGAAAACCGACCCCCCAAGGACCAACCATCGCTCCTGCTGGGTCCAACGATCATGTAGAATGTCAGCGAGCAGCGGCGGGAATCCCAACGATTCGAAGGTCCCCTTGACCACTGAAGGGTGAATGCAATCGAAGGCCAGGGAAAAAAACCCAGGTGTTGAGGCACTCGCCGTCCTCGGCAGCGAGCAGCATCTCCAGGAGGGCGTCGTGGATCTCGGCCGTCATGCGTGCTCCGCACATCGCCGCGCACCACCCCTCGTCACACCACCGGCGGCATGGCGGCGAGCGGGCCCGAGCCAGGCTCCAGACTCGGTGTACCACGCGGGGGCCACGCTCCGCGGTCTCCGCTGCTCATCTGGCAGGTGATGCTGTCCGAGCGTGCGGGCTCGCTGCCAGCGCACAGCACGCAGTGCGAGCGTTGTTTCTTGTTGACGGGCCTCCTGCAGGTCCCGCGCCTCTCCCCTCCCTGTGTCCTTCCAGTGCGCCTCCCGTGAGCTTGAGCGTATGTTTGAAACCCTCCAGGCCATAACGCGCGTTTTGCCCCCCCCCCCCCCGCCCCCCAATGTCGTAACGCTTCCCCCCTTTCCCCCGTTGTGCGCCTCCGGCACTGCCATTCTGATGCTCGCAGGCTACTGTGGTTCTTATCGTCGATATTGTCGTCGTCGTGGTCGCCGTCGTCGTCGTCGTCGTCGTCGTCGTTCTCGTCATCATCCCCGTCGTCATTGTCTTCACTTTAGTCGTCGTCGTCATCGTCGTCCTCGTCCCCGTTCCCGTCATCGTCCTCGTCCCTGTCGTCGTCTTCATCGTCCTCGTCGTCCTCGTCCTCGTTGCGGTCGTCGTCCTCGTCGTCGTCGTCGTTGTCGTCGCCGAGGGCCTCGATGTGATGCCTCCAGAGACCTCCAGAGACCTTCAGAGGCGGTCGTCGGCGTCCTCGTCGTGGTCGTCGCCCTCGCCCGCGTTCTCGTCATCCTCGTCGTCGTCGTCGTCGTTATCGTCGTCCTCGTTCCCGTCGTCGTCGTTCCCGTCGTCGTCGTTGACGTCGTCCGTGGTCGTCGTCGTCGTCGTTGTCGTCGTCGTCGTCGCGTCGTCGCCCTCGTCCCACTCCTCGTCCTCGACCTCGTCGTCGTCATCGTCATCGTAGTCGTCGTCGTCGAGAGCCTCGATGGGCCTCCAGACTCCCCCACAGGTCTCTGGAGACCTCATCGGGCCTCTGGAGACATTCAGAGGCGGTCGTCGTCCTCGTCCTCTTCCTCGTCCTCTTTCTCGTCCTCGTCGTCGTCCTCGTCCTAGTCCTCGTCGTCATCGTCATAGTGACAGGATTGAGGTCCGGCAGATGATGACGACGAGGAGGAGCGAACGTTTGGTGAGAACGATGTGGAGGAGTGAATCGAAGAGTCGGGGGAGGAGGATCAGAGGAGTTGGAGGGTGAGCTGGAGGAGTGAGGAGGACTGAACTGGAGGAGGAGGAGAGAGGAGGAGGAGAGAGGAGGAGGAGGAGGAGGAGGAGGAGGAGAGAGGAGGAGGGGAGGAGGGATTGCAGCTGAAGGAGGAGGCCGCCTCCCCCCCCCCACAGGTTCGACGGCACCGCGCCCCCCCCCGCAGCCGTCCTGCCTCGGCCAGGCTCCCCCCCCGCCACTCGCCCCTCTCGTCCCGCCCCGCGGCTCCCGAGGAGCGAGGAGGAGAAGCGAGGAGGAGGAGGAGGAGGAGGAGGAGGAGGAGGAGGAGGAGGAGTAAGAGGGGGAGGAGGAGGAGGAGGAGGAGGAGGAGGAGGAGGAGGAGGAGGAGGAGCAGGAGCAGGAGGAGCAGGAGGAGCAGGAGGAGGAAGAGGAGCAGCGAGGAGGAGGAGGAGCAGCGAGGAGGAGGAGGAGGAGCAGGAGGAGGAGGAGGAGCGAGGAGCGAGGAGGAGGAGGAGGTAAGAGGGACCAGTGTAAACTCAAGGCTCATGAACGATGTTGGACTGAGCCCTCCCTCCAAGTTCCGTCTTCACATTCACCTACAATAATTAATTTCCATTGAGGGGAGGGCCCAGCTTGGAGAAACCGTTTGAAGATCCTACAGAGCGCCACGACATCATTCTCGGGGCTTCAGCACCACGAATCAACATGATTGTTGCATATTGACGGCCCTGAATCGTGGAAGAACACCGTTCCTGGAACCTCAGCACCGCGAGTCAACGGAACTGTGGCACCCTAACAACCCTGAGTCGCTTCAAAACTTCATGCCTGGTATTTTAACCATACGACTCCTTGAAACTCTAGGACAAGTTTGAAACGAATGCGCGCAGCGCTGAGGCGAGAGTCACGTGTTGAAAACGTTCCGCCCTCAATCTGTGAAGCGCACGGACATGTTTTGAACTAATGTTCGTGACGCTATGGCGATAATCACAGTTCGAAAGCGAGCCGCCCTCAATCCGCGAAGCTCTTGCAACTTGTTGAAACAGATGCGCGTGGTGATCAGGCGAGAGCCACATTAGAGACGCGGCTCGTCCTCCATCTGTGCAGCTGTCAAATTCTAAGCTTCAGGATCGCAAATTGGTAAGGACGGCTCAGGCGGAATGCCCTGCACGCCCTTTCGACTGGCCTCGGGGTGCGACGCGGAGGAGTTATTCTTGACGTTCCGCGTAACCCCACGAGATTTAGCCCGCTGCTCGTTAGCTGCGCGTTTCTGGACGGCGCGCGGTTGGACTCCGACGCTCGCGGGAAAAAACATGTATCACCACCAGCCCATCCAAAAGCAATGCCCATGAGAGCTGACGGGGGAAGATGGGAAGAGACACGCATAGTCAAACAGCGAGGGAGGCCGGCCTGGACGGCGTGTTGAGGCCTTCTTTGGGCGCACGTGGCTCTTTGGCGGCTTCCTGGGGAGGCTCCGTGGCCATACCGAGCCGTCTTGGAGCGGTCTTGGGACCTCTTGGAACATCTTGGGTGCCATCTTGAGCCAGCTTTGGCTCTCTCCATCAGAGGCCGCTCGGGGGCCTCCTGTGTTCCTCCAGGGTGTCTCTTGGAGGCCTCTTGGGCCTCTTGGTGCGCTCTTGGAGCCCTCTTGGGGGCCTCTCGGGAACCGTGGGGGCCATCTTGGAGACGGTCGGTCAAAACAGGGGGGTCCTCGATGTAGCTCCCCCCCTCGGGGGCCACGATCCTCGTGATGGGGTCACAATGATTGGCCCTCCCAGGGGCCGAAAACGGACCCTCTGACAAATCGAGCCCCCTCCCCAAAAAACCTAGGGAGGGGAGGGGGGTGTTCCCCTCCCCGAAGGGAAGAGGGGTCGTGGAAGACGAAAGAGACCCTCGTTAGACCACCTGTCGCCCAGTGGGCTGTGGGATTTATAAGGATAAGGAATGGAGGAGCGAGGAGGAGGAGGAGGAGGAGGACGAAAAGGAGGAGGAAGAGGAGGCGAGAGGAGGAGGAGCAGGAGGAGGAGGAGGAGGAGGAGGAGGAGGAGGAGGGGAGACGGGGCGTCGCCCCCTGGCTGCGCCCACTGGGCGAGGGCAGCCCGCCTCGAAGATTCCCTCGAGGCCTGAGACCACGGCAGTCGCCGAGCGCGCAGTGGTCGCCGTGCCGTGCGCGGGCATGCGGGTGCACGACGTCGGCGGCATGGGCGGCTTTGGGTTCCCGTGTCGTGTCGTGTCGACCGGCGGCGACCCCGCTGCCGCTGGCGTTCAACGTTGGATGCCGACGGCGAGTTGCGGGCGGTGCGGCTGCTCGGCGCGACGGTGGACTTCGTGGTGACCGACTTCCTGGCCCTGGAGGATGGGGCGCGCGAGTGGAGCGCAGCCCTCGAGCGCGCGACGGCAGCGCACCATCTGCCGTCGGCTGAGGGCCCAGCCGCATTACCCACAGGGGGTGTGGGTGCCCGCGCACCAGCAGCTGGACGACGACTACCTGCAGCGCGGCCTGCACCCTGCCCTGTAGGCGGGCAACATGTGGGCGGACTGGTTCGAAAATGGCAGAACGCGCTGGAGCACGCGACCTCCAAGGTCTACGAGGGCTTCTACAGAGTGGAGGTGGCGTTCCACAAGCAGGTAGCGGCCTACATCGGCTGGGCCATGCATCGTTCGCTGCGGCTCCAGCACGGGGAGTCAACTGCCGCCTTGCCTTCGTCGCGCCGAAACGGCCGCCCAAGGCGCAGGCCGTGGCGGTCGTGCGCCACACGCCGGTGCGGCTTCCCTCTGGCCTCGTGGTGTGCCGACGATGCTGCAGGTTGATGGCCAAGCTCGCCGGCCCCACCTGGGCCCAGTTTCTCAGGCGGAGCGCGTTCCATCGGAGCTGACGACGCTCAAGGCCGAGTCGGCGATCCTGCACGAGGACGTGTTGGCGCAGGTTGGTTCCTCGGCTGGTCAGGCCGCCATGCAGGCCCTGGACGCCGCGCCCTGCCTCGATGGCCCTTGCAGCCTCGAGGAGGAGATTGGCTCGCGGTGGGCCCTGGGCGGCGGCTGCGTGCAGATTGCCGGCCATCGTTTGCGGCGCGCAGGGCATCAGTCATGAGGTCTTCCGCGAGGTGTGCGCGGCCCTGTCCGGGACTGGCACTTCGCGCGCCCTGCTGGAGCCGTGCGCGGGGCCGCCGCCGGGTAAGGGCCGCAACTCTCGCGGACATCATTTTCCAACCTGCGCGCCAGGCTCACGAAGCTGAGGGAGGGCAGGCACCCGAAGTCGGGTGCGCCGCCCACCTGGCGCGCCACGTCGAGCACAGCTCACGGTGTGTGTGTGTGTGTGTATGTGTGTGTGTGTGCGTGTGTGTGTGTGTGCGCGTGTGTGTGTGTGTGTGCCCTCTGCGCTTTCGGCGTCGTGCGCAACGTGCTCGCGCCCGCCAGAGCCTCGCCAGGCGTGTCGGCCAGGAGAAAAGTCACCCAGGGCCTCTTGGTAGCTTCGCTTCGTGGACGTTTTCCGTGGACGGATGGGCCGCCCTTGCTTCTCGTGCACTGCCTGGCCTCGGGCGGGGGGTGCACGCCGCCGCGAGCGTTGCCAGCCTGCTCAGCGGCCAGATGGCCACTGCTGCCGGTGTCTGACCACGGGTACGCGTTCGAGGTCGCCTTCCTGATGCGCCTTCTGCGGGTCTTCTGCGGCCTGCGCCCCTCGCGGGGCGACCCCGCAGTCGCGGTCTGTTCGTCCTCGGGCGGACACGCGCATCCGCTTCCCGCTCCTCGGAAGCTTTGGGGCTTCGCACGGAGGCGTGCGAGCTCGCCAGCCCGCTTGCTTGGCCTCGCTGGTCCCACGGGAGAGGAGGGCGGTTGGAGAAGGGTGAGAGGGGAGGTGGGGGGATGGGCGACCATGAGGGAGGGGATACCATCTTGGGGGCTTGAACAATACTGCTCCGTCCTCCTCTTCCTCCTCTTCTTCTTCCCCCTCCTCCTCTTTCCTGCATTTCCCCCTTCCTCCTCGTCCTCCTACGACCACAACCACATACCAGACAGGGGGTAGGGATACGGTCGACCAGGGGGACGGGTACGATCGACCAGAAGGGGATACTGGTATCCAACCTCATACCTTTCCTTTTTACTCTCCCCTTCGCCTTCTGCTCCTCCTTCTCCTCCTTCTCCTCCTTCTCCTCCTGCTCCTGCTCCTCCTCCTCCTCCTCCTCCTCCTCCTCCTCCTCCTCATGGTCGTCGACGTCATCATACTCCACGACTTCTGAAATGCTCAAGCGGTCTGGAATTTTTTAAGTTTTTGCATGGTTTGAAACAAGCTGCCCATCTTCTGTTGCTTTGGAGTTCTCGGGCTTGCCGATGGCTTGATGGCCTGGATTTCGGATTCCCTGGCCCTTATTGTTTTTTTGGGGGGGGGGGCTTGAGAATTGCGGCAACAGTGAAGTGTCGCACTTTCTTGGAATGTTCAAGCGCTTTCTTGTAGAAGTTTACCAGATTTTTGACAAATTCAAAGTTCTGGGGGTCTGGAGTTTTCGGGATTCTTGTTCGCTAAGGCTGCAAACTCACAGGACCAAATTCCTTGTCATCTCCTGCTGCTGCTCCTCCTCGTCGTCCCCCTCGTTCTCCTCCTCGTCCTCCCACCTCCCACCTCCCCCCCCCCTCCTGCTCCTGCTGCTCCTGCTCCTCGTGCTCCTCCACTTCGTTTTCCCTGTCCTCCCTTTTATCCGCGTCCTCTTCCTCCTCCTCCTCCTCCTCCTTGTCCTCCTCTTCTTCCTCCTCCTCCTCCTCTTCTTGCTGGGACCTCCTGATGCCTCTTGCAACTTGCTGGGACATTGGGGCCTGTTGGGTTGTCCTAGTGCCTCCATGGACTTTCTGAGGCCTCTTGGTGCACCGCACCTGGAAACCTCCCAGGACCTCCTGGGGCTCCTCCCACCCCGCTTCCCGTCCATCATCTCGTCCTCGCCCTCCATCTCTCTCTCTTTATATATATATATATACACATCTCTCTCTCTCTCTCTCTCTCCCTCATCCCCTCTCTTTCCCTCTCCCCACGGGCACTCCCTCATCATCTCCCCCGTCTCCTGCTTCTGCTCCTCCTCTCGCTCGGCACGCGTTGTCGACGCGTCGAGCTCTCGCCCCCGCCTGCTGCCCAGGAAGGTGAAGCGTGGAAGGGGAGGAGAGGGTGAGGAGGAGGAGGAGGACGCGAGGAAGGGGGACGAGGAGGAGTACAAGAAGGAAGAGGGTGTGCATGAAGATGCGCTCGCAGGAGTGGGGCGCGATGGAGTAGCCTCCCTCTCTTCTTCCCCCGCCCAGAAGATGGCGGAGGTCCAGAGCCTCAGGCGCGAACGTCACATGATGTTTTTTCCCTGTTTTTTTCAGGTTTTCCCCGTGGGGCCGCCTGGAGTGGCACACAAGCTTAGTGCGTAGTCGATTCAGATGATTTGCTCGCCCCCCTGCTGCGCGGATCCATATGAGATCGTTGAAAACGCTGTGGTTCGTGATGATTCAGGACAGCCCTACGGAAACACATGGTGTGTGCTTTCCCATTTCGAATGTAGAAATACCAACGCGGGCAAATATTGAGTGGTGTATGCGCGCGCGGCGACGATGGCGATGGCCACGGCCGCGATGGCGTTGGCGACGACGGCCACGACGACGGCGACTCTGACGAAGACGACGATGACAGCGACGTCGACGACGACGGCGACGGCGACGACGATGACAACGGTGACAGCGGCGACGTGGACGACGGTGTCGCGACGACGGCGTCATTGACGATGACGTCTGTGGCGGTGGCGACGACGGCGGCGAGGACGGCGGCGACGACGACGACGACGATATCGGCGACGTCGTTGACCTTCACGTGCTCTGCATACGCAGATGTGTTTCTGTAATACTGTTTGTGTGTATATGCCCTAACACATATAGGTATGTACAGCAGAACACAAGTACGCTTCTACATTATCTATACAGACCCATATGAAACACATACAGTCCGACAGTACATCTATATATATATACACACACCGGGTTTACATGGACGCCAGTCCCACACTTCTTTTACATTTTACATATACGCATATGCGTGAATCTGGTAAAGTTACATCATGTCATTCCGAGCATGCTTTCGAAACAAATCCACCGCGGCCGTTTGCGAGCGACCCACAGATGTCTTATCCGAGTGGAATACATGCTACATCTTCGTCGCAAAACACCACTTCGAACAAGACCAGCGCTTGAGGAGTACGCGGGGATGTAGGAGGATGGACAGGGGAGGAATATGGTATAGTCGGAGCGCGATGGATGACGATGATGAGGGGGGAAACTGTAGAAGCGGGAGAGGGAAATCATAATGAAATGATGAGGAATGTCGACAGGACGCCTGGGATTCCCAGGACGCCCGGGACGCCCTCGTGAGGAATGTCGGCAGGAATCATCATAGACGCCCAGGACGCCCCAGAGGGCCTCTGGGGGCCGCCCCGCGAATCCCCTGAAGGCTTCACTCAGGAGGCCCCAATGCAGTATCCCCTCATGGTCGCTCCGACGGGAGGGGGGGTGGGAGTGGAGGTGGGAACGGAGGTGGAGGGGGGAGGGGGGGATAGGAGAGCAGGAGGGGGGAGGAGATGTGGAGGGGAGGTGGAGGGGAGGTAGAGGTGGAGGGGAGGTGAAGTTGGGAGGGGAGGGGAGGTGGAGGGGAGGGGGGTGGGAGGGAGGTGGAGGGGGTGGAGGGGGCAGGGGGGAGGGGGGGGAGATGGGATGGGAGGGCAGGAGAGCAGCAGTGGGGGGCAGGGTTGGCCCTGGGCCCTGGGTGGGTCCGCGCCACGGGGGCCGGGGCTCGGGGCAGGAGCCCCACCAGCGGTCAGCTCGGCCGATCCCCTTCGGTGGTGCCCCGGGAAGCCCGACGACTACAACTTAGAGTAGGAAAAGGTACCCACACCGCTACCCTCGCCCCGTTGTCGCCGTTTTGTGCTTCATCGGAGGCCCTCGTCGCCACCGATGGATTCGCTTCGAAATTCTGGGCAGAACGCACCCCGGGAGAGATCAGGGGAGTAGCGGCATCGATACTCTTCTGGTCTTGGTCTCCCCTCTAAAAAAAAAGGTGTGTGTGTGTGTGTGTATGTGGGTGTGAAGAAAGGTGCACCTCTCGTGCCCCTCAGGGGCCCTATAGGGGCCCGCTGGGGCAAGAGGGGCACGAGGGGGGTGCACGTGTTTCTCCTCGCCCCCCCCCCGCCCACTTATCGCCCCCCTCCACTCTGCAACGCTCACCCACACCTGATGGATGATGGGCTGCGGAGCGAAATTGAGGCACATCCTCTGGAACCAACGCGAGCGCCGAGCTGTGAAGCCGAGCACTGCAGGAACAGGACCCTAGAGCTGTGAACCCCTAGACCTGCTGGAACCAACGCTAAGCGGATAAGGAACAGGTGCAGCACCCCGTGGCGCACTGCGAGCCCCGACAGACACTCAGAGGTGCCCCACCCGAGGAACGGCCTCTGGTCGCGGCCGCTTCCTGGGCCGCTCGCTGCGGCCTCGTCCTCCGCCCTCTCCAGCTCCTCCCTTACCCCTTGGCATCGCTCGGACGTGTGCATTTTTCCTTCGGCGAGGGCCATCGAGGAACATCCTTGACCATTTGGCGAAAAAACCACGCACGAAACCGACAAAAAACACAAAACATTGACGTCCGAGCGATGGGCGAGTACCCTGGGCCCAGGGGCTGCAGCTCCGCGGCCGATCGGCCAGGCCGGCGCTCGCGCGGCCCCCGCGTGGCACCCGGGCAGGCCGCTCGGAGCCCCGCTCCGAGCGCTCGGCCACGTCTCTCTGCGCCTCCGGCGGCCGCCCCCGCCGCCGCGCCCCCGCGCGACCCGACCAGGCGAGGAGGGCGAGAGAGAACACCGGCGCAGGACCCCCTCCGCCCCCCGGTCGATGCAAACGGTCACCGAGCGCGTTCACTCGCAAAGAGCCTACTCGCAACCGTCCAAGAAACAGATGTTTCGCGCCTTTGTGATGGACCGTAAATCCCCCGGGGCGGATCCAGGCCACTTGCGAGTAGTTACTTTGCGAGTAGTGGAGCGCGGTTGTCTAGACGGGGTCAGCCAGAGTGCCAGATCTTGCAGGATCCTGCAGGGCTAGGGGTTCGTAGACCTGATTTTGCGTTGCGTGCAGGATCTTGCAGGCTCCTGCAGGATTTCGCAGGATGTTGCAAAGCCTGACTGACCCGGGTGCGCATTGACCCTGCTCAGTAGATCTCCGAGAAAGGGTATTCCAAGGTGGGGTTAAGAGACGAACCCAGCTGGAGGGTCACGTGGCCTTCTTCCAGGAGCCGTTCCGGGCGATGGTCGCTCCTCGAACCCCCCACCTTACCCCTACCCCACCTTTCCGTCCCCCCGCCCTCGGGGCCCCCGCCGTTGCCGTTGCTCACGTAGTCCCGTCGGTTGCTTCTCTCGTCCTCCCCTGGTGGCGCGGGGGGAGGCGACGGCTGAGGCGGAGGGGGAGGAGCAGGAGGAGGGGGAGGAGGAGGAGGAGGGGGAGGAGGAGGAGGAGGAGGAGCAGGAGGGGGAGGGGGAGGGGGAGGAGGAGGAGGAGGAGGAGGAGGAGGAGGAGGAGGGAGGAGGAGGAGGAGGAGGAGGAGGAGGAGGAGGAGGGGAGGGGGGAGGGAGAAGGGGGAGGAGGAGGAGGAGGAGGAGGGGGAGGGGGAGGAGGATCTCGCCCGTCTCTTGCCTCGTTGCCGTCTCCGTCGTCGTGGTAGTCCTCCGGTCTCGGCCTCCCGCCCCCGTCGTCGTCTTCCCTCCACGCGTGGGAACGCCGATGCCCACGGGTGCAGGGCGCTCGAGCAGGCCCCCCCCCCCCCGCCGCTCGAGCTCTTCGCCCGCGGCAGGAGACACCGCGGCCACCACGACGACCCCGGCGCAGAGCCCGGCGAGGACGGCGCAGAGTTTTCCGCGCTCCGCCCTCTGTCAGACCCGTGCCTTCCTGTCTCTCTGTCTCGCTGTCTCTCTCTCTCTCTTTCTCTCTCGTCCTCTCTTCCGTCCTCTCTCCCGTCCTCTTTCCCTCTCGCTGTTTCTCTCTCTCTCTCCCTCTATCTGTCACTCTCCCTTCCTTTCTCTCTCTCTCTTTGTTTGTTTGTCAACCCTCTCTCTCTTCACATACCCACGTGTATGCATGTATACATATGTGTATATGTGCATATATATATATATATATATATATGTTCTCTTCATCGGGTGCATACACACACACTCTCTGTATACACGTGTGTACATGTCCATATCTCTGTTTTCTTCGCTCTCTTTGTCCCTCTCTCTCTCTCTCCTGTCGCTAGCTGCATACGTGCAAAGAGAACGAGTCGAAGGAATAGTTGGAGGAGGATGCACAGCAGGGGCATGACGAGGTGGCAAGGCAGGAGGCGGGAGGGAGTCCAGGGGTGGAGAGTGCGCGGGAGACACGTGAAAGCCATGGGAGAGTCCAGGGAAACAAAGTGCTTACGTGGGAGTAGTTTAGAACCAAAAGCGAACTTACACCAGAGAAAAACCCGATCAGTGGATGGTTTGATGAATCGTGGGATCGATAATGAGATCGATAAGGAGATCGACCAGGAACCCGGGAACCCGGGAACCAACCGAAATCGACCCGGAACCAATGACCAGGAACCAAGGAACCCGGAATCCAGGAACCCAGCCGGCCACAAAAATCAGCCAAATTTTTCAATTTCCTCCCCACCGGACCCATTTCGTTCATATTCAATGTCTGCGATCCGATGCGATTCGCTTCTTGCATGGCACCGTCGTGAATCCTGGCGCGGTCGATTCGATGCGAGCGGGTTTCCGTGCCGACGCAGACCCGTCCGATATACGCTCCGATCCGATCCGGATTCGGGTCGGAGTGACCCAGTGCCCCGGATAAAAATGTTCCCCCCCCCTTAACGCCCCCCATTCCTAAACCTATTTTAATTGGATTTAATTGTGGAGAGGGGCGCGGAGGCCGAACTTGATAATCCACGGGGGAAGTTGCGAATCGAAATTGCTATCATCTCATGTTGACTAGCAACAGCATCAAACATGCTGAGCATGGCCATGCTGGTCTCATCATATCAGCTTCCGCAATCACGAGCGTGTGGCAGGGCTGTGGCAGGGCTGTCGGTCTTGTGCCAAGATCTACAAGGTCAGTCTACACGAGCGCCCAGGATCACCACCATCATCATCATCATCATCATCATCATCATCATCATCATCATCATCATCATCATCATCATCATCATCATCGCCATCGTCTTAATCTTAATCTTCGTCATCATCATCATAACTTATACGTAACATCACCTTCCCCGGGAAAATCGTTGATCATCCCCGCCAGACCCCCGAACTTTCTTATCCCCATGTGATGATTATCCAGGGCACCTTCACCTCTGCCCCCATCCACATCCACGTCCCCTTCAGACTATACTCCGCTCCCCGCTTCAATCCCTTTTGCCCCTGCTCCATCTCCCCCCACCCCCTCTGCATCCGCGGGCCCCTTTTCTCAGCCTCCCCTCTCCCCCCCCCATCTAACGCGTTCCTCCTCTCCTCGCCTCGCCGCCGTCGCCGCCTGCTCCCCCGCGTCGCCCCCAACCCCCCCTCCTCGCGCGGGGGCCGTGCTCGTCGCCACCATCCTCGCCGTCGTCCTGCAGTCCTCGCCGTTGCTTCGCCGACCGTGGGCCGACGCCGAGTGGGGAAGGCTGCGCCGTTGGCCGCATCTCGCCCGGAGGAGGAGGAGGAGGTGGAGGAGGAGGACGAGGAGGAGGAGGAGGATGAGGAGGGGGAGGAGGGGTTGCGAGAGAAGATGGAGGAGAAATCCGGCGCCCAGGGTCGGTCTCCCAAAGACCGCCCGTGTATTGCACACGCCCTGCCGACGATTTACCGCCCGGAAAGCAGCAACAGCTGCGCAGGAAGGGCATAGGGGGTGACCACGTCGCCTGTGAAGACTCGCGGCCCAGCGGTTCCGACATGGTGCGTTGGGAGCCAAAAGCATCCCAGTCGGAACAGCTGGCACGGCATACTGAGGAGCACAAGCTCCCCAGCCCTGGGTGGGCACAAGGCCCCTTGGGACTCACGTGGCACAAGCCCCCGCCTCCCGAGGAAATGCCGACCACTGAGGGTCAGATCAAAATGAAATGACCGCACAGGCGCCGCTACCCGCCTTCACCAGCAGGGCTAGGCTGAGACTGGGGCCGCGCTACACCCAACGACGGGAGACCCGTCGATACAGGTTTCGCAACGTCCACCCCAAGCCCCAGAGCCCGCGGTTCCAGAAACATCGGCCGGTTGCACCCCGCCCAACCTGCGAAATAAGTGCCGTGCACATTGTGCCCCGAGGGTATCGGCACTGACACCACGAAAACAGGTGCCAGGCCACACCGGAAGGGCGAAGAGGGAGGAGGAGCAGGAGGAGCAGGAGGAGGAGGAGGAGCAGGAGGAGGAGGAGGAGGAGTTGCAGGAGGAGGAGGAGGAGGAGGAGGAGGAGCAGGAGGAGCAGCAGGAGGAGGAGGAGGAGGAGGAGGAGGTGGAGGAGGAGGAGGAGGGGGAGGAGGAGGAGGAGGGGGAGGAGGAGAGGAGGTGCAGGAGGGAGGAGGAGGAGGAGGAGGAGGAGGAGGAGGAGGAGGAGGAGGAGGAGGAGCATGAGGAGGAGGAGGAGGAGGAGGAGGAGGAGGAGGAGGAGGAGGAGGAGGACGACGAGGACGACGAGGACGACGAGGACGAGGACGAGAAGGAGTAGGAGGAGTTGCAGCAGGAGGAGGAGGAGGAGGAGGAGGAGGAGGAGGAGGAGGAGGAAGAGGAAGAGGAGGGGAGGGGGAGGAGGAGGAGGAGGAGGAGGAGGAGGAGGAGGGGAGGAGGAGGAGGAAGAGGAGAGGAGGAGGAGGAGGAGGAGGAGGAGGAGGAGGAGGAGCAGGAGCAGGAGGAGGAGGTGGAGGAGGAGGAGGGGGAGGAGGAGGAGGAGGAGGAGGAGGAGGAGGAGGAGGAGGAGAGGAGGAGGAGGAGGAGGAGGCGTTACATGAGGAGGAGGAGGGAGGAGGAGGAGGAGGAGGAGGAGGAGGAGGAGGAAGAGGAGGAGGAGGAGGAGGAGTTTGCAGGAGGAGGAGGAGGAGGAGGAGGAGGAGGAGGAGCGTAGGTGGAGGAACAGGATGAGGAGGACGAGGAGGAGGAGGAGGAGGAAAAGGAGGAGGAGGGGAGGAGGAGGAGGAGGAGCAGGAGGACGAGGACGAGAGGAGAAAGAGAGAGGAGGAGGAGGAGGAGGAGGAATGGCAGGAGGAGGAGAGAGGAGAAGAGGAGGAGGACGAGGAGGAGGAGGGAGGAGGAGGAGGAGGAGGAGGAGGAGGAGGAGGAGAGGAGGAGGAGTTGCAGGAGGGTGAGGATGAGGTGGAGGAGGAGGAGGAGGAGGAGGAGGAGGAGGAGGAGGGGATGGAGGACGAGGAGCAGGAGGAGTTGCAGGAGAAGGAGGAGGAGTTGCAGGAGAAGGAGGAGGAGGAGGAGGGCTAAGAGGGCGCCGGTCCTGGCCAGGCCCAGCCCTGGGCCGTAGGGTCGACGGTGCCGCATCGGGGGCGCCCAGGAGGGTCGGGGCTGCGGCCAAGAGGGGGTGACGGCTGGGGGTCGGCGGCGAGCGAGAGGGGGGGTGGAGATGAGGCCTTCTCGTAAGTTGGGCTTGTCCCTCTACAGGAGGAATATTCAAAAATAGTCCACAAAGAGTCTGGGGACGATGTTGTGAGTACTTGAGGCCATCTGGGAGTATGTTTTGACATTTGTTTGTCCAACATCCGCCTGTAGGGGGACATGGCCGACCTAAGCCCTCAGGAGGCGGCGGGATTTCTCAGAGGCCCTCGCGCCTTCTGAGAGGGTTTCTCAATGTCTTCGGGGAAAGCTAAGGGAACTTCTCAGGAGGCTGGTTGACTTTGGAGCCTTCTCATAAGGCTTGGAGAGCTTCTCAGAAGGCCCCTTCTCACTTCCCCCCCGGGCTCGAAGCCAAAGGGGGGCACCGAAAGGGGGTCGATAAGATGAAGCAGGAGGCCATGATATCTCCGAAGATCTCATGGCCCCCTCTCCTTCTTTCAACACGCCGCCTGGCCGCCCCCTCGCCCGCGCACGTGCCTCGGGCGGGCGAGGATCTGCGAACTCCTCTCTTTGACGCTGCCCCTCTTCGGGAGTTCGGATTCTTGCATGAGGGCGGTTCGAACGTTCTCGTTGGTTCTTTCACTAACTCAAAACAGACGCCCAGTCCCAAAAACGCGATGGCCAAGACAGAACGCAGTCTCCTCGAGGCTTCGGGGAGGGAGATTTTAGGGTTTAGGGTTTTACCAGGGTGACAACGACGAACGCAAAACATGCCCCGAAATCTTTGGCCGATCTTCGAATCCTCGGTAAATCTGCGATTTGGGGGTTGGGGATGTGTTTTGTCTTGGCCATTCTTGAAGGTCTTCTCGCTTCCGGATGCATCCCAGCTGCGCCTCGTCGAGGGCTCGCTCTGGGTGCCCGGGTCGTCCCGAACGGTGGCCCGAGTTCTGACCCGAAAGCCGCCGGGCGGCGGAGAGGGCGGTGATGACCAGGCAGGCGTGGTGCACAGACACAAGGAAGAGTTGATCCCCCAGAAAGTATGGGAAAATGTATGGGAAGTGGAGGGGAAGACGAACCCCCCAAAAATATGGGGAAATATGGGGAATGCTTTTATTTGTTTGTATTTATTTGTGTGTGTCCTGGGGCCCCTTCAGTGGTTATCATGGCTTGGGGCCATGAGATCTCCCAGGTTTCACGGCCCCCGCTGTACGGAGCTGAGAGGAAGACAGAGCCTGCTCAGAGCGGTCCGGAACGCGCCCGAGACCTCCCCAGAGCCGCCGGATTTCGGAGATTCCCGAGGCATCCTCCCCGAATTCATTCCCCCCGTGACGGTGTGGATCTCATGGCCCAGGCCCATGAGATCTCCCGGGCTTCACGGCCCTCGATGCATCATGCAGAGCGGCCCCTGGCCCGCCCGTCCTCGTCTCGGCCACGCGCCGAGGAGTGTATGGGGGGATGAGAAGGCTTCTTAGAACCACCCCCTGCTGCTCAGAAAGCGCGGGCCTTGTCTATCCTCCTCCTCCTCCTCCTCCTCCTCCTCGACGGCTACGGGCCCTGCTGGGGGCCCCTCCTCGTCCCTACATTGCGCTGGATCTTTCGAAACACTCGTATCAGAACGCAACACGTGGAGCAGAGGCCCAGGTGTTCTTCCTCGACGTGGTGTTGAGGAGCCAGACCTGCCTCGCGAGAGGGTCGCCGAGCTGCGGACGCTCGGCAGTGCGATCAGGAGCTACACGAAGGCCCTCCAGCACTGGCGACGCCGCAGAGCCCACGAGCGCCAGAAGTTCATAGAGGACGAACTCAGACAAGCATGGAGAGGCCGTGACATGGCCCAGGTTCCTCGGCTTGCCCGCTCGCTGGCACGCACGGGCATCGGCGTGAAGAACCGCAACTACAGATCACACGCCTCGTGCAACCCGACGTGCGACGAGTGGTCCACCTTCCTTGCGCAGGACCCGCTCCAGGGCGGCTTGGCAGCTAATCGCACGACCGTCCCTCTCTGCCACAACTTGAAGCCCGACAGGCTCACGGACCTGGGCAACACTTCGGACTACGCCATCCCCGATACGGTGCACATATCCGAGGAGGACGTTCGTGGGGGCCAGTCGGACTTCAAGATGACAATCAAGGCCCTTCGCCGCACGAAGATTGGCAAGTTTGCGCCGTCCTGGTCTGCTCCCTCGGAGATTTTCAAGATGATCGTGGACCCAGGGTGGCTCAGCAGTCCAACCTTGTATGCCCGTCTGCCCTGGGGAGTGGGAGCTCGACGACCGCTGGTGATGGAAGAAGAACCCCGAGCGCCTGATCCCTATGCGCGCCTGCAGCTTCGCCACCTTGAGGCATTGGGAGAAGGACGTCGTCGCCTGTACCGCCTTATGCTGCACGTACGACGCATTGGATTGTTACCAGTGCAGGCGTCTCTTTCGTATGGATTTGCCCCAGATAAGCGAAATGGGAAGACAGGAGCTGCAGGCAGACGGCTGGTGCATGTCTTGTGCCCTTTCTGGAGAGCTGTAATGAGGGGGGGACTTCTTCGTGGGAGCACCTTCCGACCGCCAGCGTGGGCGTTCGCGGCTCGGGGCAGACGAAGGGGACATTTGATGATGGCGACGAGGGTCGTGGCGTGGAAGGGGCACCACTCAGGACAGTACATGCTCCACAAGAGCTACGACGCCACGAACGCGTTCGGGTGCGGCCGCAAGGAGGACCTAGAGCGCTCCGTCAGGAACCGATTGGAGGAGGAGGAGGAGGAGATCAAGGACGAGGACCTCAACTACGTGACGGCGATCTCCCGTCAGAGACGTTTGGCGCTTACCGTGGTCATCCCAGCTGCAGACGGCGAGGTGGCCCTGAGGAGCGGATCAGGAGGGTTCATGGGGGACACATCGGAGCCAGAGATTTTCATGAGTAACTACCACGCCGCAGTGGCGAAGTGGGCCGAAGTGGAGACGGCCCGATCCAACGGCGAGATGCTCATCAGGATGCAGAACTTGCCCGAGGTCGACGCAAGCCTGGGATGCTTTGTGGACGACATCTTCAAGACCCAGCTTCTGTCGGAGCCCCAGTCAGCAGCGGAGGTGACCCGCCTCTCGCTGCGTAGCGACCAGGGGTTGGACCAGGCCCTAGCGGAGAGGGCCTACGGCCAGAACAGGGCCAAGCAGGACGTGGTGCCCGCTTTTCCCTCGAGGCAGCTGGTACGACGTACGATCACGGAGCTGAATCGCAGCGGCTGCCGCAGCAGCTATGAGCTGAAGCACCTGGGCGCCTGGTTCAACGCGGTGAACAGCAACAGCAATGAGCTCAAGGCACGGCTGGCGGCGATCACGAAAGGCTGGATGATGGTGCAGGGGTTCTGGCATTCGTCGTCGCCATTACGAGTCAAGCGATTGATGTTCATATCCCTGGTGAGCGGTGCGGCCCTCTCGGGCACAGTGGCATTTTGCTGGACGGCCGCGGAGACCAGGCAGTTGTGTGGTGCATTGGCGTGCAAGCTACGTTCTATGATGGGAGGCGCGGCCAAGGCGGGACCATCGCATATCACGACGCTTACCACACGTGAGGTATATAGGCATTGGAATCTCGTGTCCTTTGCTTTGGAAGCAACAGTTCAAAGGCTGAAGGCATGGCAGGCGATTGCGAGAGCGCCTCGGAACCATGCCCACTTGCTGGCCATCTTTTACGGCGAGATGCAGTGGGAGGCCACCAGCGCCTACCGCTGCCCACCGACGCTGCTAGAGGACGGCCGCTTCAACGACACGACGCTGATCCACCCTTGGGCGCGTCAGCTCCGACAGGACTTGGAGGTGATGTGCAGCGCACCTGAGGCGGAGTCATTCGCAGAGGTGTGGGGGTTTGGCTCTGTGCTGGACCTGCTGTGGGACGAGGAGGTGAACTACCTCTTCACCTCTTTTGATCCGCGGTGCCTGCGCAGCGCCTTTGCTGCAGTACAGTGGGCACCGCCACCTTGCCTGGCGGACGCTGTGCCAGCCGCCCAGGACGATCAGCTGACTTGGGAAAAAGGAGAAGCGGACGTCTTTGTTTGCACGATCAGAGCCAACCCAGATGACCCGATATGTGGACAGAGCTTTCGCACGCGTGCAGCGCTCGTGGCACATGTATGTCAGTCTCGACAACAAGGGCATGGGGGACAGAGTTTATTCAATATTCTAACGCCTAGCAATGCATGCGTCAACTGCAACACGGTCTTTCAGAGCAGGGGGAGGCGGTGAGGCATCTGGCACGGTCATGGCACGCTGGGAGATGTATCAAGCACAACACGGCGTACCCGTACACGCACCACCTACCTACTACGCACGTGTGCGCGCTGTGCCAGTCCTCGTTCGCGACCTACGAGAACCCCCGCAGCCACTTGTGCTCGCACCTGCCGCCGACGCAGGAGGGCAGATCCATCTCAGTCGTCACACCGAGACCTGTACCGTTCAGACCAAGGCCGAGGGTGAAAAGGCTCGCAGCGCCCGCGTCAGGACCACGTCTGAGAGGGAGTGAGATTCGCACAGTCGAGCGCTTGTTTGTCAGCAGCACCACTCTCTTACCTAATGGAAGTGGAGAAGTCGGGGAGGTGGCGCCCACGCAAGGGGGGCTCCTTGGCTCTGTCGCCGACTGGTGGGCAAGCGCCCAACGGCGGCGACGGGAATCAGCAGCGCAAGGGGGGAGCTCGAGCCGAGGGAGGAGCACGACTCCAACGTGGCGGCGGAGGCAACGAGGGCTCGGGGACCAAGCCGAAGGTCAGACGCGGCGGTCGGAGGCGGGCCGAGCGGAAGGACCGCAAGTTGAACACCAAGGATGCTGGCCTCCGAGAGATCCTGCTACTTCTGAGCATGCAAGTGGCCCAGCTCACCTAGAAATCGCGGGCACTATGGGGGATCGCCACCAGGACTATCTTGATAGAGGAAAAGAGCGGCGCGGTGAAGGCCATGCAGCAGGAGTCGAAGGATTTCTCGGACCACGCGGCGAACCTCCGCACGCAGATAGGCAAGTACAAGGAGGACGCCAAGAAGGCGAGCGGCTCCGACGCGGGGGCCGAGAAGGAGGCGGCGATGAAGGGCCGAGGAGATCCAGAAGGAGCTGCGCGCGCTGGGCCCCCCCGCCCCAGCTCTCTTCGCGGCGCTCGTCGAGAGCCTGGCGGCCGAGGAGGTTGGGGCGGTCAACCGCAGGGCGCTGGAGGCGATGAAGCAGGAGTTCGTAGAGGCCCCGCCCACGGACGTCCGCCTGTGCAGGCTGGAGAGCTGCAAGGACGAGGACATGATCAAGATCGTGCTGGCCCTCGACGACAAATCCAAGGAGGGGGTGATCGCGGCCTCACTGCACGCGATGGGCGCCCAGGTGACGAGTGGCATGGCCCCCTCGATCAGCGCCTGGATCGACGCGCTGAAGGCGGCTTGAGCCCTGCAGGTGAGCCTGCCGAGCCTGACGGATGCAGCTTCGCCGCTCTGCGCCCAGACGTTGGAAGGGGTCGTGTCATTGTCGTCCGAGTCGGGGGAGGAGGAGGGATTTATGTAGAGTCTTGTCACCCCTACAGCCCCCGCGGCTTCGCCGTACTCGCGGTGTTCTGACGGATTATCGCGGGGGCTGTGGGGGGGACGAAGACGCCGTTCCTCTTTGGACCGACTAGAGTCGGCAACCGTCGAGGCCACTGACCGTCTCGGTGGGTTAGTATCCCTGGACCGATGTGCACGCACTGCCTCGGAGCCATCGAGCTTCGGGATGCGCAGCCGTGCGCACCTGGCATAGCAGCAGCACCAGCACGGTGCGGACGGCGGACATGTGAATCTTTCTAGCAGTTTTACCCTGTGACGGGTTGCCCAGCTCGCGTGCAGCGTGTGGTCAGTCACCTCGTGCACGAGTGCTGTGTGTATACGCGTTAGATGTCTCTTGCGAGCATTGGAGTACTTCGTAATCTTGTCCAGCAGCCGCGTGCAAGCAAGCAAGCAAGCTCCTCCTCCTCCTCATCTTTCTCCTCCTCCTCCTCCTCCGCCTCCTCCTCCTCCTCCTCCTCCTCCTCCTCCTCCTCCTCCCCCTCCTCACTCCCCTCCATATGGCAGTGCTGGTGGAACATTGGCCTATCAGAAGCCCTGGTCGCCCCGGCCCCCTGCGGCCTGGCCCCGCTCGCCACGAGTCGCCCTGCGCTCACGGGGTGCCCTCCTGCGGGGTCTTCCTCCGAGGCCGCCTCTTGCCCCTCCTCTTCCTCCTCTTCCTCCTCCTGCTCCTCCGCCTCCTGCCCCCTCCTCCTCGGCGCGCGCCTACAGGCGGAGCGGGACCGCGACCGCAAGCGGCGCAGGCGCCCGGAGTGCGCCGTCGAGCTGGCGGCACGCTCGGCCCCCGCCCCCCGCCCAGGCCGATCCCTCCGACGATCCGGCCGCCGTCCCAGGGCCGGCCGGCGCGTCCGGCAGACAGAGGGGGCGGGCCTGCTCGGGAGGCCCGGCAGGGCTCGGGCCTTCTAAGTCTCCGAGCGCGCTCCACTGCTCGCAGTGCGCCGACTCGCAGTGCGCCCGAAGACACACGTGGGCTGCTCGGATGCAGTTTGTCGTGGATCCCCCGCGGCGGATCCGGGCCGTCTGCGACTCGCTACCTCTGCGAGTAGTGGAACGCGCTCGTCGAGAGAAGTTTGCTCAGCCTTCCCCGAAGCCGCGAAGGGCTTCTCAGATGGCCCACCCCGTCTCACTTCGCCTCTGGGCACACCGCCGACAGACCTCAACGACCTGACTTGTTTCAGCCCAGGCGTTTCTCGCTGATCTCGGCCCCTGGGGCCCAAGGACCGCGCCCTGGGTCCATCAGGAAGGGACTCGGCACGATCTTTGGGAGGGGTAGCGAGCCCAAACGTCAAGGGGGGCCCAAGAGGTCGGCGAATCAGCCGTTCCAGAGCTTTCTGGAACGCCTTCGGAGCGTTCCTGCTCGCTCCATGTCGTCCTGGCCCGCCTGTAGGCCCACCAAATAATGTTCTAATAACCTTGTGTGGTTTGCAGGACATGTTCTTAGAACATTTCTGGCTGGGTCTGTCTTGTTTTAACATATAGGGTTTATGTTCTACGAGCATAGTTTCTGTTCTTAGAACATTTCTGGGTTCTAAGAAACATTCGTGGTAGGCCTATAGACATGTTGGGACGGTCGGTCCCTGTTCAACTATCGGCGATGTGCAGCCCATGTCGGCTCGATGCTTCCCCCCCCATGAACCCGTCCCCCCTCTGTCGCTGCTCTTCGAGGGCGTGCTGAGTTGTTGTTCGCTTTTCGGCCTTCTCGGGGCCCTCGAGGCGGGCCGGACGTGGCTCGGGACGAGAGGCAGCTCCTGGGGAGAGCCCAGGGGTCCCGCGGCCTGCTTTCTCCTCTCCGGGGCCCACTTCCCCTGGTCAGTGCCAGCACTCCTCGGGCAGGAGGAGGGGGTGGTCCGGTGCGAAGCACGGGCGGGGAGCCCCGAGGCTCTCCTGCCCCAGGCGGCGGGGGGGTCGCACGGCGGCCGCCTGGCGCCGCTGCCGCCGCCGCCGCCGTCGCCTTCGCCGTCGTCGTCATCGCTGTCGTCGCTGTCGTCGTCGTCCGTCGTCGTCGTCGTCGTCGTCGTCGTCGTCGTCGTCGTCGTCGTCGTCGTCGTCGTCGTCGTCCGTCCGTCCGTCCGTCCGTCCGTCCGTCCGTCGTCGTCGTCCGTCCGTCGTCGTCGTCATCGTCCGTCCGTAGTCTGCGTCGTCGTCAGTGGCAACGTTAGGCGCCCACTCATCACTGATGGGGCGCAGGTGCCCCAACACCGCCTCGCAGCCTGCTGCTCTGCGATGCGTTGAAATTCGTGTCAACTCGGGCCTGTCTCTCTACAGGAGGAATATTCAAAAGTGGTCAAACAAGAGTCTGGGGACGACTTTTTAGCATTTTTGGCAATTTTGGGGTATTTGTTTGACTATTTTTCATTTTCCGTCCAAAGTCCCCCTGTAGGAGGACAGTCCCGACTTCAGATTAGTGGTCGATATCGACCCCGTTCTTTCTTCCCCCTAGAGGGGGAGGTCACCATCTTCGGTGGAGCGCGTCGGAGGCTCAACCAGGCCCCGAGCGTGTGAAGAGCCCGTACCTCCCGCGGCACGACGAGACGATTCGTGGCTCTGGGAAGGGGCCCCCCCTTCCTCCTGCCCCTCCCCGTCTCCGTCTCTCCCCCCCCCTTGCACAGCCCCTTCACTCACCCCACCACCTGGGAGGTTGAGTCCAGCATCGGCGCTGGGATACCCGTTGTCGAAAGCCATCCAGATCCGTCACAATCCCATGTCATTCCGCTTACTCTTGTCTGCCGAGTCCGGGTCATTCCGGCTTGATCTTACGCCCTGCGCCTGATCTGGGCCAGTCCAACTCCATGGCCCCTCATTTGATCACGATCTTTCTCACTGTATTCCACGCCGGTCCCGCCTTGTCTTGATCTTGCAAAAACCTCCCAGGAGTCAGCTCCAACGCCCCCCGTCCTCCCTCCCGAATCCCCTCCCGCGCCGGTTGTCCTGGGGGCGGGGCGGTGGGTGCAGCCCGGGAAACTCTGTGCTGGAGGAGATCTGGGCTCCTTGCCAGTGCAGCCACGGGCCAGCGTTTTCGGATATGGGTGGCCTCCGGGATCATGCCCCAAACCCTCCAATTCAAGGGGTCTCTCCCTGGGACTTCTGGTATGGCCCGAGGGGCTCCAGGAACTCCCCCGAGCCTTCTGCTTCGTCGCTGGGATGCGGTCCAGGCTCGGGGGCCAAGGGGGACTCGGCATCTCCGAAACCGCGACTGAGCCGCACAGGATCCCCTGCCTGCTCTGGTCAAGTGGCCAGCCCGACTGCAGAGCTTCCGACGCGCGAGGGTGAGTGGGCAGCAGCTGTGCGATCACAGAGGCCGCGGCCCCACCTCTTCAGGGGCAACGTTAGGGAGGGGGTAGGCTCAGGCGGAGAACCCCCAAATCGCCCACTCTTCGCCGACAGCGGCCCGATGACCCACCCCGCCCCAGAACGTGCGGGGTCGTTGTCACGAGCCCATCGCCAATCTATGGGCGATGTATCGCCGATGCCACGCCGATGTGATTCCCCTTCTGAGCCTCCTGAGCCAGTCGACCCCCCTCTCTGTGCGCGGGACCTCTTCGAGCAGGACCCCACCGACGGGCGACGCCTCAGGGCCCACGGCATGGCCCTGGGCAGCCCGCCGTGGTGCTGTCTTCACGACGCCACGGGGACGCCGCGGACGTTGCCCACTCGAGACGAGAGGTCGCTTGCCCAACAGCGACCGTTGTCGGCTCTGCACAATACCCTCAACCCACCCGCAACATTCATTTCTCGAGCCCCTGGAGCTCGAGAGCACGCCCTCGAGGGGACGCCCTGCTGGGCGTCGTGGAATTTGTTCCCGAGCCCCTCGAGAGGACGCCCTCGCCAGGCGCGCCGAGAGGATGCCCTCGAGAGGCCAAGCCCCCGGGGGCCGAGGGGCCACGAGCCGCGCCTCGCGCGCCGCGGCCCGGGCCAGAGGGAGCTGCCCCTCGGCAAGGGTTGGCCTCGCGAGGGCGCGGATGCGGAGCGCGCACCGCGGGGCGCGCGCCACGCCGGGAGAGCTGCGGCCAAGACTTAGAGGATGGAAACGTGCCGATGCCCCTACCCCTTCGCCCATTCTTGCTCCTCCTCCTCCTCCTCCTTTTTGGGCCCCCTGTGAGGTCCTCGTCGCCACTGCCGGAATCGCCTCGAAATTCTGGTCAGAGCGCGCCCCCGTGAGGGGTCCAGGGAGTAGCAGTATCTGTTGGTTTCCCCATGGGGAGCTGCCCTCCGCCCTGGGCCTCGAAGGACATCCTTGTTCGGACACAGAGAAGGCCCGCCCAGACAAGTCGCCTGAGGAAATCTGCACTGGTTCGCTCGGCGTTGGCATTCGAGTGTACCAGTGCTTTCCGCAGTCAGTTTCGCTGATCGACAAGAAACTCGCCGCCGGATGCATTCGGTTGTGTTTGGACGTCGGGTTAGCTGCCCCGCTGGGTCCAGCTGGAAGGCGGTGCCGTGCGCACGTTGAGTGCCCCTGGCAGCTTTTACTAAAGTCTAGGCCTCCTAGATGGGGTCGGAGTAGATGGGGTCGGACCGAGTCGGAGGATGCCGCCACATCGCCGATGCATCGCCAATGCGGCTTGATGTTGAGCCCGATTTGCCTCACGTCGACGTCGCTGGTGCATTGCCCACGTCGACGATGGATTGCTGGTGCATCGCCGATGCATCGCCGATGTATCGGCAATGCGGCGTGATCCGTCGACCATATCGACCCTATGTAGGAGTCCTCTATAAAGGGCGTTCTTCCAAAGGGTGTTCTGTCCACCCCCAACTTTTGCTCTTCGTGTTGGGTATCTCCACCTCGGCAGTGCTCTTCGTGCGGGGGTCTCGCCACGAGGCCTTGGGCCTTCGGCGAAGGGGGCCAGCCAATGAGTTCGAGGAGGAAGAGTCGACACACACGCTTACACACACTCACTCGCACACACGCACACACGCACGCACGCACGCACGTACGCACGCACGCACGCACCCACACACGCACGCACACGCACACGCTTACACGCTTACACACACACACACACACACACACACGCGCACGCGCACGCGCACGCGCACGCGCACGCGCACGCGCACGCGCACGCGCACGCGCACGCGCACGCGCACGCGCACGCGCACGCGCACGCGCACGCGCACGCGCACGCGCACGCGCACGCGCACGCGCACGCGCACGCGCACGCACACGCACACGCACACGCACACGCACACGCACACGCACACGCACACGCACACGCACACGCACACGCACACGCACACGCACACGCACACGCACACGCACACGCACACGCACACGCACACGCACACACGCACACACGCACGCACGCACGCACGCACGCATTCACACACACACGCACACACACACACATTCACACACACACACACACGCGCGCGCACGCGCACGCGCACGCACACGCACACGCAAACGCACTCGCTCACACACACACACACTTACACACACTTACACACTCACACTTACACACATTTACACACGTGCACACATACTTACACACATTCACGCACACACACACATATTCACACACATTCACACACAGTCACACATACATTCGCACACATTCGCACACATTCGCACACACACACATACACACACACACACACACGCACACACACACCAACAAACAAACACACATACACACGCGCGCGCACTGTCGGAGCTCTGAGCGGTTTTCTTGGATCGTGGTTGGTCCCCCTTCCTCGCGCGCGGAGCGCGCCACGGGCGGCGTCGGAGGCGTTGTCAGGGGTGCCAGCGACGATCCAAGACTTTGGACTTCGGGGCAGTGCTTATTTTTGATATTTGCCGCCTCTTCGTCCTCGAACGCACTTCTGCCTCCCTCGCCGAAGGCCCACGGGTGCACGGCGCGACACCCCCGCACGAGGATCACTCCGAAGGCGGAGCTGTGATCTTGACACGCCTCGTTTCTTCTTCCCTTTTTATGCTCCTGGCCAGCGCTCTCGCTGTCATTTCTCGGCAGTGCCGCGTCGGGCCCTGGGGCCCCCCACGGGTGCCGAGCCGAGCCTGGGGGGCGCCCGCGCCGAGGTGGCGGCGCCCCACGTGTTGGCGGAGGACGCCGCGGCGGCGTCCGTGGGCGTCGAGCCTGGCGCGGGCGGGGTGCCTGAGGCTGAGCTTGCAGGCGGCGGGGGGGTCGCGTTAAGGCGGACGTGTCTCTCTTCAGGAGGAACATTGCGAAATAGTCACAACATAGTCCGGGGACGATTTTTTGGGGAATATTTCTTGGGCTATTTTATTTTCGTCCAAAGGCCCCCTGTAGGGGGACACGCCCGACCCAAGTAAGGCTCGTGGGGCGACCGCCGCCTCCGTCGCCGGCGTCGTCGTCGCTGTCGTCGCTGTCCTCGTCGTCGCTGTCGCCGTCGTCGTCGTCGTCGTCGTCGTTGTCGTCCTCGTCGTCCTCGTCGTCGTCGTCGTCGTCGTCGTCGTCGTCGTCAGTCCGTAGTCTGTGTCGTTTTCAGGGGCAACGTTAGGGGGGGATAGGCTCAAGGGGGGATGCATCGACCCCCGAGCGCCCATGGACCGCGGACGGGGCCCTGAGAGCCCGCCCCGCCCAAGAATGGTCGGTTGCGCTACATGTGGCCTATCGCCGATCTACCGGTGATGTATCGCCGATTCCAGCTGAGTGTTCCCCCTCCTGGGCCGCCCCACCCGATCGTTGCCCCTCACGCGTGTCAGAGGAGTGACAGATACCGACAGCGCTGTCCTTCCCTCGTCGCCACCGCTGGACCCGCCTCGAAGTCGTGGGCAGAATGCGTCCGTGGAGAGGGCCTCGGAGTAGCAGCAGCATGGGCATCTTTTTGTCCCCTCATAGTCTGCGTCGCTTGTATTGTCGTCGTCGTCGTCGTCGTCTGTTCGTCGTCCCATGTGCCGTGTTCAAAATCGTCTGCGGCGTGCCGCCTGTGTGTTTGTGTCTGTGATTCGTCGTCGGCATCGCCGTCGTCGTCTGTCTGTCTCTCCGCGGCCGTCGTCAACCTGTGCCGTCGTTGTCGTCGCAGTTCATGTGCCGATTGCCTGGGTCACGTACGTTGGTACGTGCACTGCCTCCAGCCCGCCACCGTCTTGCCAGACCGCTCGTTGAGAGCAGTTTCTGTTGATTGCTCTGGCTGTTGCCAAAGGCTATCCAGCTGCCTGCGGCAAGCTCCGCCGCCGTGCCAGCGCAGCACTCCTTGTGGCGGCTCTTGAGGGGGCTCGCATGGGGCCTGCTTATCTGGGCCGTCTTGTGGCTGTCTTTGGGGTCCTGTGGGGCCATCGTGGGGCCAACTTAGGACCCTCTTGGAACTCACAGGCCGTCTTGGGGCCCTCTTGGGCCGTCTCGGGAGGGTCGGGCGATGCACGCATGGGATTGTGAGTACGAGGGGGTCCCTCAGAAGAAGTCTTCCAGAACCCCGCCAAGCAGCACTTGGCTAACACACCTCAACGTGCCAGGGGGAGCGGCGGCGGATCGAGGACGCCAGAGGCGCCCCACTGGCCACCTGCTAGTTTGACGGAATTGCAGACAGCAGTGACATTCGCGACGCGCCATGCATTCAAACCATCCGTGTCGGACGCCTTTTAAAGGCTTTGGGGGGGGGGGCGTCTGCGGGGTCTCTTGGGAGTATTGGGCATCCTGAGGGCTTACGGGGTGGCTGTTTGGGGTATGTTGTGGGCCTGAGGGCCGTCTTGATCGTGGTGGATCTATTGACTTCTCTCGGAGAGGCTCGGTGGACCTGTTCTGTGGCAGTCTGGGCGGGTCTTGGCTCGGTGTGGGGGCTTTCTTCGGAGCGTGATTTGGCCGTCTTAGGGCGTCTTTGGGCCGCCTTGGGGCGCCCTGGGGGCGTCGCAGTGCTCCCGGACGCCTCTGAAGCCGGAAGGCAAACCATCGAACTTTTGCTTGCTTTTTCATTGGGTGTAGCCTTTCAGGGCCTCGCTCGCTGGAGGCATCTTTCGGTGCCCCTCTGGAGATTCCGGGGCTCGCTGGGGCCTCGCTGGGCCGTTCCAGGCTGGACTCGAGGCACTTTGCGGGTCGTCTTGGGGCGGTTGCAGGGAAACGCTGAGGCCTCCACGGACTCCACTCGCTTCTAAGCGCCCGGAGGCGCGGGGGACGGCCGACAGGGTGGGGCCCTCTGGTTTGCCGCGGCTTCTTGACGAACCCGTCCTGGAGTTTGACGGCCCAGCTTTCGGTGCGAGTTTGCAGCGGGAGTTCGCGTCACTCTCTTGCTGGGCTCGCCAGGCCAACCCGAGTCTGCCGAACCCGAGTCTTGCACATCTCTCCCGTCCCTGGCGCTTGTCGCCCTGTTTGGGACCGCCTGGAGGCTTGTCGCCGCCACGGCTTGAGCCGGATCGAAATACGGGTCCAGATGTCAAGGGAGGAAAAACCGCCCAGACCCGATGATTGGCGTCGGCTCAATGGCCCAGGGCGTTTGTGAAACAGCCCTGCCCCGTTCGATTCCTTCTCTGGGTGCGTTTACGCAACGGCATCGCGTGTCGGGGTGATTATCTATGGGGGCTGCATCTTCTGCCCCCCAAGATATGGGACCTGGCAGGGGCCCACGGACCGATTCTGAGCGGATGTGGTCCAGGCGGGGCCCAGCGGCGCCGCTGCCTCCACGGGAGGAGGAGGGCGAGCTGCGGCGACGGCAGTGGGCCTTTTTTTGGGGGGGGGGGGGGCCCGCTCCTGGCCCTCCGGCGGTCGGAGGACGGGGGCCGAGCGAGGACGGCGGCCCTGCGTTCGGGGAGGCGCGAGGCCTCGTGCGCCGGCGCTCGGGCCTGCCGCCTGCCCTCCGGAGCGAGGCGGGCCCCGACCGCCCCGTCCCGGAAGCGGAACAGGCCCCCCGCCCCCCCCACTCCCTTCCACTGTGGTGAACTTGGGTGGTTGTAAGGTTTAGCAGACTTAGCAAGTTGGTTTCGGAACTTACAAGTTGCGCTAACTGAGCGCAAGTAGTTGCAAGTACTTGCATGTTGACGTGCAGCCACTGCATTTTTAGCTCCCGAATTGTTGTTTATTCTATAAGCGATGCGCAAGGCGAGCGACACCTGCATTGGAAAGCGATGTTTTTTTTGCGCTGCTGCGCATAAGCAAGCAGGTAGCAGCTCACGCGATGTCTCACCACTTGAACATGGGAGGCACTATCGCGATTGATCCGCCTCCATGGCGCCTGCATGCCTTGCAAGTCTTCGAACCTTTCTAACCAACCACAACGGACGTCCCGCATCGCAAATGTCCACCATGCATTTTTCACAATTGCACGTGTGCAAAGCGGACAGTTGCTTGCAGACGGCACGCCCGTATAGTGGTGGTGATGGTTCGGAAACTTGGCAAACGCCCCGCCATGGCAGTGATGATGTCGGTCGTGTGCACCAGCTGCAAGTCGTCGTCGGTCGGGTGCACGGTCAGCACGCCGAGCCGATCATCGTAGCAAGGGGTGTCCCAGATTGAAACCAGCGATACCATCGTTCCGTTTACAGCAGCGTGAAACCAAACCTCCCCACACGCCTTGCCACCATTGGCAACGGAGAGCAGCGCGATGTCGCGGGATTGGCATGTCGACAACGTCGACACCCGAGCCGAAAGAGCCGTGGTCGTGCTGTCCCTGGGGAGGCGCTGGCCGAGCTTCTCCTCCAGGAAGGCGTGCATCTTCTTAGGTGCCGCCCTGGGACACACCAAGTGCGGCGAGAAGTCGAACACGTTGGTGCTGCGCAAATTTGCCAACTGCAGGCATGTGACCTCGGACAGCACACTCCTCTCAGAAGCTGCCAGCTGGCGCATATCATTGCAGAACCGCTTGGGCACTCTGTGCTTTCTATCGTGCACAAAACACGACATGAGGCATCCGAACTTGATCAGGTGCCTTGGGAAATGGACCAGCCAGTGAAACTTCGGTGTCATGTATTCCTGCCACCCTGCTGCTTCACAAGCATCCAGAAACGCGTTCGTCCTGTTCCTGAGAGCGTCAGCAGACGCACGGGATGATGCTGCAGCTTCGATGCACCACACCAAATCACACAAACGAACAAAAGCGGTGCACTCCGCGCGTGCTACCCCTGCAGGCAATATAACCGTCATCACATACGTATACATCATTGGCATCAAAGTCAATGCCTCACTCGCCTGGCACTTAAACGCTTTCGCCTTGCCGTTGGAAGTATCGCTGCCCTTCTGAAAAAGCTTAGCCAAGTTATCAGCGCTGCCGTGCGCGATGGGCAGTGACCACATCTTGATGTATTCCTCGAAACGTGAGTATACGTTGGACAACCCATTATTCTTACAACCTGCAAGAAAGAGATGCGTCGAAATGTTAAAAACACCTCGAATAAAGAATGCGTGCATCCAGTCGTGGCAATACTGGTCAACAGGTAAGATAATGCGATCCAGCTGTGGATCGAGCAGCATGTTCTGCTCATTATGGTTGAAACCGAACGCTTGCTCGCGGATCCTGGGGCCACACTCGTCATCCTCGCATTCCCCTTCCAATCCCCCTCCCCTTCATCATCTTCCCACCCTTCATCATCCTATAGGTCATTCTCCCTCCTTTGAGTTTGCAGGCCCCCCGCAGGTCTTGAAATTGGCGTTGGTGTCCGTCGCGTGGAATGCAGCCAGCCGCCGCGCGCTCCCCCTGATGTCATCATTCGTCGCAAAATCGACGTCACCCTCACGCATGACGTCTGCTCTCAGCAGGGCCACCCCATCTTCGTCGGCCAGGGAGCTGTCCATTGCAATTACATTGCGGCAAAGCATGCAGCATTTGGTACCTGCATCTCCTTTAATCAGCCAAACCAACTTCTGGGCACCGCCGTCCTGGAGAACCATCCCAAGTTTGCAATGTAACCTGACTCCAGGCTCCAATGAAACGCCCGTTGTGTGCAGTGAGCAATCCGACCTACAAAACATGTCTTTTATAAGCATTTTGAATGCCTGTGCGACGCCTGCATCTATATCGGATACACGTTTTGACCTCAGGGCACCTACGCAGAACCACGCATCCTCTTGCGACAACACTTCTGGCCCCAGTTCTAGAAACGATACGTAGAACATCCACATCTTCCTTGAATTGTCTGGGGATAGTTGGTTGCCTGGTGTTACCTCGTCAGAATAAAATATCAGCGACCACGGTCGCTCGAAAGAGCACGGCCTCGCCGCCAAAGTCT